GAAGGTGTGGTGACCTCAGCCAGCCCTTGGCAGCCTCCATAACCCCGGTTGTCCTCACTGGGCAGGTCAGAGCCTTTCAAAGGTGCCCATCCTGGAGAGGTGAGCTGTCTTGCCTATGTCACTGTCCCTGGCTTTCCTGAGTCACTGCCTTCCTCAGAAAGACCCACCTGGGCAGGTGTGTAAATGCATGGTCAGGCTCCCCTTTTCCCTGTTGGCACTTTACTCCTCCCATGCCCCAGTTCTTCAGAGAGGCTTCCCTTGACCTCACTGGGTGAAGCACCTGTCTAGGCATTCTGTCACATCTCTACTTTGTCCCCTGAAGTGAACTTATGGCCACCAGTTAATGCTGTCTTTAAGTGTTTGTTGGTTGGCACATGCTCCACCCTCTCAGTTAACCTTTAAGCTTCCAGGAGAAAAAAGACTTTATTTCGATCATCCTTGGTGTCTTCAATACCTACAATGGCACCTGGCACAGCATTTGCTCAAGAAGTGTTTATTGAAGGAATGAGTGCGGGGAGGGATTGGCGCCCAGGTAGGATCTTCCCCAACTTGCACACATTCTCTGCCTCTGAACAGGAGTGGCTGCCTCCCCAGGACCTGGCACCCCATCTGTGGTGATTTAAATCACACCCCTAGGAACCTAAACTATATATTGGGCCTCCTTTCCTGTGTCTCTGGGAAGTCTGAATCAATTTTTCAGACTTCATGGTCTAAGAAATTGACTTTTTTGCGGCTACGTCTATATCAGAGTTGCCCAAACCCCATGAATTCAGTAGACTTTGCCCAGAGGATGTGAAATCAGATGTAAAACAAAGCACATGTCAGAGCAGGGCTGAGTTAGTGTTCACAGGAGGACCAGGCAACATCGAGTATCATCCATTTATTTAAATGACATCAGAATATGACAGGGAAGCAGCACTGTAACATTGTTTTAACAGTCTTGAATTTTGTCTGATTAGAGCCTGTTGCTGAGTCAAATGCCCAGTTCTGCCTTTGGTGGTCCTGCATCTCTGCAGTTTCCCCTGGCACTGTTTAACTCTCCTGCCAGATTGTGGCCCCAGCTTCCTGGCTATCTGAGGCAGCACTGGGATTTAGTCATTGGGGAAGGTGGAGGAAGCACTGGCATGGTCAGTTCTAGGCTTCACTCTGCCTGATGCTTGCTGTGGTGTAGCAAGGGGACCTTTGCCTGAGTGGACTACTGGGTTCTGGCCCTAATTAGTGTCATGACTTTGGTCTGTAGTGCCTTCACTCTGTTTCTGTCATTTTTCTGATCCTGAGTTTCCCTCTGCCAGTGGCCCGCCCCCCAGAGATCCTTAGCTCTGGGATCTGAGGAGTCTTGAAGGGATAGGTCACATGCTGCTGTGGGCTTCTGTTCCTGGAGAGGGAGTGAGACTGCTTGACCTTGGGATTCGATCTAGGACAGTTTTGTTTCTGGCAAGGGGCAGGGTTGGCTCCATCCCAATTCTGACCATCCCTGGGATCCCAAGGGCCACCTAGGGGTTCTTCTCCTTTCTTCCTCTCACCCTGGGAGGTCTCCCTTTCTTTTCTTGCTCTTCCCTGTGTCCTTCTCTCTCCATCTTTCTGAAGCATCAGACTCCTTGCATGAGATTGAAAAGGGAAACAAAAACTGGCTTCTAAACAGGACCTTTGGTGTGTCATCAACAGCAAAGCAACAGTAATAACAACACATGGAATGTTTGTGTGCATATTTTACAGAGCCTCTGAATACAGCACTTTTTTTTTTTTTTTGTCAGCCATTTTCGGGTCTGCTAGGTGAGTCCAGAGGGACCCTCTTTTCCTCTTTCCCAATCCTGCTTAGGGGGAAACAGAGCAGAGCACCCCTCTGTACACGTGTGTCCCCACACAACCATTACTCCACACTTTTCAGGGCACAGCTTAACTCTTCCTGTTCATGGGACTTTCTGTTCATAGAAGGTGGCTGCTGAGGCTGAAAGTGAGTTTGAAACTTCACTTTTAGAGAAACTTTGGGAGTGATTTTTTAAAACATCTCTGTGTTTGGCATTTCTTAAAGTCGGGGCTTCTGAAGTTGAGGGGAAGGCTCCAAAGACACACCGAGGATCAGAACCTGCTTTTTTGCTGTTTTGGCTGACTGGATGGACTTAGGGATGATTGCAGGGTGTGAATGGAAGAGCGAGGCCTCAGGTCCTTGGGGACACAGAGGGAAAGCCTGCAGTCCGTGAGTCCTCCCAGAACACTGTGACGCTGGGCAGGGCTCTTGTGGAATGGCAAGCTGTGTGGACTTTGTGCTGGGTGGGGAGCAAGGGGTGTTGATGGTGAATGAGGATCAGGTTCACTTGCAGGATGGGTGGGACTCTGGGCAGATCCCAGGACTCCCACTTCCAGGGCTGAGCTTCTGAGTTGCCCATAAAGACTTTTAGGATCCACCTGAGGTCAGCGTTTTTCAGCCACAAAGTGAACCACTAGAAGCCTAAAGGCATTTTGGGTGAGAAAGAACTATTTCCTCATCTAGCCTTGTCTCTGCTCTGCCCCAGGTTCTTTCCCTAACTTGGACCCTGTCTTTGGTCTCTTCCTGCTCACACCAACTCTCTGGCACTCTGTGGCCTGGCCTGGCACAAGTGGCTATTGTGGAAACCCTGCCTTCACAGCCGCCCCAATTCTCTCAGATATACCTCCTCATATTCCTGCCACCCTGGATCACTGGCTACTCCCCAGACATGCCAGGCTTTCCCTGGTTTCGCTGTGAAGAGTAGGCCCTGGAAGTTCAACTCCTTTTTCTGACCCACGGAAACTTCTCTTCATCCTCTGAGACCCAGACAGAACTTCCCTCCTGTTACTAGCCCCCTCCTCTCCCTTTTTTTTTTTTTTTTTTTTTTTGCAGTTTGAAAAAAACTGGGGTTTGAACTCAGGGCCTATACCTTGAGCTACTCCACCAGCCCTTTTTTGTGATGGATTTTTTTGAGATGGGGTCTCAAAAACTATTTGCCTTGGCTGGTTTCGTATTGTGATCCTCCTGATCTCTGCCTCCTGAGTAGCTAGGATTACAGGCAGGAGCCCCTCTCTTCTTTATACTATTGGTAGGGAACTCATATGTATAAGGAAGCAATTGCCAATTTTTTTTTTATGGGACTGGAGTTTGAACTCAGGGCTTCACACTTGTAAAGCAGGTGTTCTACCACTTGAGCCACACCTCCAGTCCATTTTCCTCTGGTTATTTTGGAGATGGGGAGGGGGACTCTCACAAAGTAGTTGTCCAGGCTGGCCTTGAACCTTGATCCTCCTGATCTTAGTCTCCCAGCAGCTAGGATGACAGGTCTGAGTTACCTGTGCCTGGCAGCATTTGCCAATTTTCATCACTGCTTCTGCCCTAGACTGTAGTGTTCTTAAAGGTGGGTGTGTGTCTTCCTTCCCACAAGTACTGTGGTTTAGTGGTGGAGTAAGCAAGTTCAGGAGTCTGACAGCCTGGGTTTAAATCCTGGCTCTACAATTTACTAGTCTTCTAGTCTTGAGCATGTTCTGTAACTTTTTTGTCTCAGTTTTCTCAAGTGTAAAGTGAGTTAACAGTGTTTTACTATAGGGTTATCTTGCAAATTAACTGAATGTATATATAGAAACATAAATAGCAATTAGAATGCTGTCCGATGTATAATTCAGTTAATACTAAATAAATCTAAGTGAACATTTAAAACCTATCGGAAGGTACCTATCCGGAACATAAGGTGTACTCACACACATACCTTAAAATACGTTCTCTGTCACATACCCCCGTCTCTCCCTGCCTTCCTCTTGCCTGTGTTCCTCCATCTTCTTTTCTTTTCTCCCCCTTCTTTCTTCCTTGCGTCTTTGGCTCATTGCTCATAGTCACTGAGAATTTAGCAGTGGAGGCTTTGGGGAAGGAGGATGTGTGATCAGAGCGGGGGGCTGGATGAACAGCCAAGTCCCCAGGCCATGTATGCTACTGACTGGAGGTTTGGGAGGGGGGAGAGATGGGGCGGTGGGGGGGTGACAAGGAACAGGTCCTTCAGGACTGGATCAAGGAACGCAGAACAGGGGATGGACTGAGTAGAAAAGACAAGGAAGAAGCAGGACATCCACCTGCTTTCCTTTGCTGGCAGAGGGGCTTCCACTGCTTGGATCCCCTGTGCTCATCCATGATGGAGACAAAGCTAGAGCTTCCTGTGGAGTTCAGGCCTGGCTCCTCCACTTATCAGATTGGGGGAGGGGAAGGAAGAGCTTAGTCCCAGAGGCTGAGAGGGGCTTGTGTTCTTCTCTATGAAAGGGGGCTCACTGCACTACCTTCCTCAGAGAGGCAGGTTGATTCCATAAGCACAGTTTGGACATGTACTGGACAGTGTTGCAGGCGGGCAAGGGGTCTTTGTCATTATAATGGTGGCCTGAGGACCAGGTGTCTGAGGCCTGTCATCTCTTGGGCACCTGCAAGGGCTGTGGGCAGCAAGATTTTCACCTGCTTATGCTCACTGTGGCTGCCCTGCTCCCCTGGTATCACATTCCAAAGGGAGCCTGGCTGGAGGGAGGAAGATGGGCCAGTGCATGGGGTCTGCAGAGACAACATGGTCCCTTGCCCTGGAGGACACGCCTCCCAGGGAGGGGCAGGGAAAGAGCAGCTGGTCTAAAATTTGGCAAAACAGGTCCAGATGAAATGCCTGGCAAACTCAGAGTTAGCCTTCTAATGGAAACCAGGACCAGCCAAGAAGGAGAAGAGGGGTGGTCCTTGGGGTCACCCAGGGCATGGCCTTGAGTTGCAATAAGCCTGGGACAGCCAGGGCCCAGCAGCTCTTGCTGGAAGCAAGGGGCATCTTGGGCACAGACCACTGGGATCCTTAGAAGCTGCATGCTTGTCAGGAAGAGAAAAAAGGAGTGAAAATCAAGAGGAAAACGGAGCACTGTCTTCCTTCTCTCTCTCTCTTCCTCTTCCTCCTGGTCCTGAACTCAGCTTCACAAACACAGAACTTCCTTCTTCTTCCTCAGACAGGTTATCATTTCTTTATTCTTTTCCTTTCGTTTTAAACACTTTTATTAGTCTTTTCTTGCCTTAAAACTTTAAACAGCCGTTTATCAAAACACAACAAATACACAGCACAGAACAAAACTCGGAAAAAATACCGCACTATATGTTACATATACTCAGGCGGGGTGATAGATTTATATAATAAAAGATGAAAATAGTCACTTTCCATAATAAAAATAAGTTCTATTTTTTGTTTATTTTACAATATACTTAATATTCTCTTCTTCTTTTGCCTCCTCTCCAGCGTTTTCTCCTTCATTCGGAATCTCGGGGGAGGGGTCCCCCGTGGCTGTCCCCAGCCCACCGAGTGACGGAGGGACTTAGGCGCACGCGCCGCAGCCGCACTCCAAGTGTCTCTCCACCTCGTCCACGAACGAGGAGCCGTCGGTGCACTGGAACACGTACTTCCTCCGCTTGCTGCGCACCGGCTGGCAGCACTGGGACCCGCAGCCCCCGCGACATTGCATCACAGGCACCTTGGAGGCGGTGGCGCACGACGCGTAGCCTTTCTGGCGGCGGAGGGCCTCTCGGACGATCTCCCCCAGACATGGGTTCTCTGCAGAAGGCAGAAGGGGTAGCATCAGGGCACTACCCTGCAGGGGGCTGGGAGGACCACCAGCAGGTCCTAGGTGGGCTGATCTGGAGATTAGTGGTACTTATGCGTTCACCTGGGCACTGTCTATCCATCTGTCCACCCATCCCTCTTTCCACTTACCCACCAATCCACCCATCATGCACCCATCCATCCAAGATGTCCACTTGCCCACCCATTTGTTCAATCTGACCCATCTGTACATCTGTCCATCCACCCACCTGCCTACCCATCCACCCAAGATGTCTATTTATCCACCCATCTGTCTGTCCATACGCAGCTATCCATCCATCCATTCACCCACCAACCCATCCAGCCATTCAACTCTTTACAAATTTTAAGTGCCTTTTTGGGCCACACTCTCTATCCCAGGCTTATAATGAAGCCTGAGAATAAAATGGTTGTGAGAGTATCCTGAACCCCCTTTCATTCAAGGAACTTAATGTCCAAATTGGATGAAGCAAAGTGGTGAACTGAGGGCTAAATCCTGTCCCCAGACAAGTATTGATTGCCCCATCATTCTTAAAAAATGAAATGAATACCAACTTTTGAAAACTAGATTTCAGTTAAAATTTTGGATTTCTGGCTTTGAAAACCACCAGGTTATCTCCAGGTTGCCCCAGGCCCCACCACTCCCTGTAGCCCATCTTCCTTGGTCTAGAATCTGGGCACTAATTATATGATCATTGAAAATATCTGTAACAAGAAACTGAAGCAGATGCTATTAGGAAAAGGAACATGCTCAGACAAAGGCACATGGAAGAGTAAGGTGACCTGGTCTGGGAACTTTGGGTAGTGTGGACATTTCAGCCACACTGACACTTCCAGTGTATGAATGGGGATGTCTATTTGTCACTTCAATTTCAACAATGTCTTACAGTTTTCAGTGAGGAGCTCTCCCACCCCCATGGTTAAAGTCATTCCTAGGGTTGTGATTCTTTGGTAGTTATTGTAAATGGGATTGCTTTCTAGGTTCTTCTCACAAAGTTCACTACTAGTGCATAGACATGCTACTGATTTTGACATGCTGATTTTTTTTTTTTTGTATCCTGAAACTTTAATGAATTCATTGATTAGTTGTCATCACTTCTGGTTGACTTTTTAGAGTTTTTATATATAAGATCATGTTCTCTGATAATTGAATTTCTTTGTTTCCAGCTTGGATGCTTTTATTTCCTTCTGGTGCCTGATTGTTCCAGCTAGGACTTACAGAACTATGTTGAATAGTAGTGAAGTGGGCATCCTTGTCTTGTTCCAGACCTTAGGGAAAAGCTTCCGCCTTTTCCCCATTCAGTGTGATGCCATTAGTGTGTGTCACATATGGCCTTCATTGCGTTGTGGTGCATACCTTCTATACCTAATTTATTAAGAGTTTTTTTCATGGGGCTGAAGGTGTGACTCCATGTGGTACAGTGCCTCAAAAAAGTTTTTTTTTTTTTATCATGAAAGGATGTTGAATTTTGTCACATGTTGTCCCCATGTCTTTAGAAATGATTATATGATCTTTGCCCTTCTTTCTGTTAATATGCAGTATCACATTTATTGATTTGTGTATGTTGAATCATTCTTACTTGTCTGGATGAATCCTGTTTGTGTTGACTGACCTTTTCCATGTGCTGTTGAATTTAGTTTGCTAAATAGTTGGCCTTGGATGACTGAGCTGGAGAGCTCCCTCCTGTTCAATTTTTTGCAATAGTTGAAGAATTGACACTTGTTCCTTAAATGTTTTATAGGCTACAGCAGTGAAGTCTGGCGAGACTTCCACTAATTCAGTTTTCTTGTAATGTCTCCTCCTCCATCTCTGACTTTGAGTTTTCTTTTTTTTTTTCTTCTTAGTCTAGCTAAATATTTAATTGTGGTGATCTTTTTCAAAGACCCACCTCTTCATTGACCTTTTGTATTGCTTTGTAGTCTGTTTTCTTCCTTGTATGTTTTAGGTTTCATTTATTCCTGTTTTTCCCATTCCTTGAGATCTCTTTTTTTGGTGGCTATGCCATGGGTCTTGGTATGTTGTGTTTCCATTTTCATTTGTTGCAAGACATTTTTAAATTTCCTTTTTGATTCTTTTCCTTGTCCCATGGAGCATGCTGTTTAATTTCCATGTATTTGGAAAGTTTCCAAATTATTTTTGATTTCTAGTTTTGTACTATTGTGGTCTGAAAAGACACCTGACATGATCTCTATCTTGTAGCATTTAAGACTTGTTTTTGGCTTAACCTAAGGTCTAACCTGGATAAGCTTCCATGTGCAGATAAGAATGTGTATTGTGCAGCTGTTGAGTGGGGTTTTCTGTAAATGTCATATGTATTTGCTCTACAGTGTAGTTAAGTCCAGTGTTTCTCTGTTGATTTTCTCTCTGTATGATTTGTCCACTTAGGGAAGTGGGGTGTTGAAGCTCCCTATTACTACTTTTCCATTAATATTTGCTTCATATATTGGGGTGCTCTGGTGTTGAGTGCATATGTATTCACAACTGCTATACTCTGTTGCTGAATTGAGCATATCATCATTGTTCACATCCTTATCTTTGTAAACATTTTTTCTTAAAGTTGATTTTATCTAAGTAATCTACTTTCTTTTGGTTTTCATTTGTATGAGCTCTCACTCTGTCCCTTCACTTGCAGTCTTTGTGTGTCCTGACAGGAGCTGGGCTCTTGTTGGCAACATATTTATGTTCAGCCACTCAATTTAATTCATTGACATTCTAGGTTATTATTGACAAGGGATTTTACCTCTGAATTTTTTTTTTTTAAGTGGTCCTGGGGTTTGAAAACAGGGCCTCACGCTTGCTAGACAGGAGCTCTACCACTTGAGGCTAGTCTGATTTTGTTTTCTAGTTGTTTTGTAGATCCTTCGTTTTTTTTTTTTTTTTTTCCTTTGTGATAACCTGGGGCTAACAAAGAGTTGTGTAGTTAGACTATTTTAAGTTGATAACAACTTGACCTTGGTTGTATATAAAATATTCTGGACTTTTGTGTCCCTTCTCCATTTTTTTTTGCCTTAATGTTTACATCTTTTTACATTGTTTTCCTTAGTAACTTCTTATAGCTACAGTTATTTTTGAGCACTTTAACCTCCAAACTAGAGAGATTTGAAAGATTTACATATCAGCATTACAGTGATGGAGTGAGTACTGTGAATTTGATCAGAAATTTACCTCTTCCAGTGCATTCGCACTTTCAGGTTTTAGAATAATAGCTGTCCTTTTAGTCCAGTTGAAGCACTGCCACATGCTTCCTTGTAAGGCCAGGCCGGTGGCAATGAAGACCTCAGTTTTTGCTTGGGTGGGAAAGGCTTCATAGCTGAAGGATAGCTTTTTTGGATGTAGTTTTTGTGGCTGGCAGTTCCCTTTCAGCACTTTGAACATATTGTCTCTTCCTCTACTGGGCTCCAAGCTTTCTGCTCAGAAATTGGCTGATAGTCTAAGAGGGATTCCTATATATTCAACCTAATGGTTTTCTCTTACAGCTTTTACAATTCTTTCTGCTTTTTGACTTTTAACAGTTTGATCATAGTGTGCCTAGCAGAGAATTGCTTTGGGGACCTTTGAGCTTTCAGAATCTAGATGTCCATCTCTGTTCCATGACTTCGTCCTCCTTTCAGTACACCTACACAGTGGCTTTGGACGAGACTTATGGCCCAGACAGAAGTGTGCTTATGGTCACACAGTTCAGTGTCCATCCTCTTAGCGCTTCTCCAGGTCCTCCAAGGCAGCCAGCACCACAATGGCTCCCAGTGACTCCCACCTCCTGGTTTCCATGCCCTCCCTGTAGTTGCCTTTCTCAATCCATGCACCTGACCCATGTAGCCATGATGTGGAAATGGTAAGTCACTTCCATGGCTAGGTCATGTGAGGATGGTGACCTCCTCCTTGCTCTCTCAGCCAGGTCATACTGTGGGGAACCAGCTTCCCTTTCTCAGGGACTCTCAAACAGCCCAGGTAGAGACTCACACAGGGAGGTACAGGCCTCCTGCCACCACCCAGCACAATGGGAACACACCACATTGGTAGCCAGTCCTTCTGTCTCAGGTTGGCCCCTAGAAAACTGTAGCCATTACTGGGTTGAGGGACCCTGGCTAAGCTCTTTCTGAGTTCTCAACCCCCAGGAATGGGGTGGGATGAAAAAAATGCTGACTCTGGTTTTGAGCTTCTATGTCTGGGGGCTAATTTGTTATGCAGCAGTAGATAGCTGATACAGCTAGGTACCGTATCGCCTCCATTTGCAAGATGAGGGAGTTGAGGCTTAGAAGGTGGTGAGCCAAGGCCACATGTCATCTAAGTGGCACAGTGAGAACTGGAGCTTAGGCATTCTGGATATGAAATCCAATTCTGACCCACTTTCCTCCTAAGTCCTCCCTTCTACCACCAGCACAGTGGACTCACCTTGTTCACAGTGCTCCCCACTGAAGCCAGGCTGGCACAGGCAAAAGGGCTCCCCACGATCTGAGATGTGGCACTGCCCATGGTGGCACTTGAGGGCTGAACAGGCGTTGGCAGAGTCGTTCTTGTGGTCACACAAAGCCCCTCCGTAGCCCTCAGCACACTTGCACGTGTATGAGTTCCCAGTTGCCATGCATTTTCCATGGCTGCAGCTAGGGCAGACAGGAGGTGGGAACATGAGTTAGTGCTGCTAGAGGCTTCTTCTGTTCACTCCAGCTCAGACCAGAGACCCTGAGCTGCGGGGCCTTGGATGTGTGCAGCCCAACAGGCTTTGAGCTCACAGCCTGCCCTCTCTCAACCCAGTGGCCAACCAGCTGGAAGCTCATGAGTGTCACCCAATGTCCACTGCCAGCTGTGGCCATGACACAGACCTGCTGTTTCACACAGACTTCGGAACTTAATCTGTAAACACTTTAATTGCGCTACCAACTCTTGAATGCCACACCATCACTGCCTCCTCTATAGCTTGAGCATCTCTGAGCCCGAAGTCCAAAAGTTTTGAACACTAACATATCACACGTGGAAAATTCCACACCTGACTTCTCATCATGGTCACAGACAAAGCACAGATACACTAAAAATACTGTGTAAAGTTTCCTTCAGGCTGTGGGTGTGAGGTGCCTGTGAAACAAATGGGTTTCATCCCTAAGATATGTCAGGAAGTCTATGCAACTATTCCAAAATCTGAACGGAATCCTGAATTCCAAACATTTACTTCACCTGCACCGCTGTCAGCAGGTGGCCGGCCGCTGTGTGCCAGGCACTGCGTTAAATGCTAAAGCTTAACCCTGCAGCTCTCTGACTCAGCTTTCCCTCTTGTGGTGCCTTAAGCACCACTCCTAGATGGGAAGGACTGATAACAGAGCCTATCTATTTAATCACAATGCATTGTGCTCCTTTGATGACAGATGACATTCAGAACTAGTGTTCACACTAATTCTAGAGTCAAACACACTCAAGAAAGAACACAGGAAAAGCTCTAGCCCTCCATAGCTGTCCCTCCTTCTGAGCTGGGACATTAGTTCCCAACCTGTTCAGCCAACCAAGTTACCAGTCTTGGTTCTGGTGTTTATTTTTAGCCGATTCAGATTTCTTGACACTGGGATTACTGGTTTGCTTATATTCAGGTACACAGTAGGCACCCAATAACTATTTGTTAAATGAATAATAAATGTCTAAACCATTAAGCATGAGTCAGCTGTGTGTGGCTAAGTAGACCTGATATCTTACCTAGGGCACAGGCAGAGGAGGCAGCCACAGAGGGGCTGAATAAACTCTCCTTCTACCTGTCAAGTGACCATGGGCTCTGTCTCCACGAAGGGGCACCTTTTCTAATCGCAAGGAGGGAGGGTGGAGCTTGGGACAGCTCTGGCCACATGTTCTGAGCAAGGCCCTTTCACAATGCCACCTCTGCCTGAGCAAGACCTGCTGCTTGGATGTGTAAGCTCAGCCTCTTGGCTTTCTAGGCAAACTACCCACAGCGTGACTACAGTCCCTCCAGAGTCCGCCACTGCCCACGATCTAGGTGGGGGCAGGGCAGGCAGCATGGGATCACTAACCTGTGGCCCAGGCACGGGTCCCGAGTTTCCTGGTCACACAGTGGGCCGGTCCAGCCCGGGTGGCACTCACACACCACACTGTCCTTCTCCACGGAGCGACACAGGCCGTGCTTGCACACGGTGCAGGACTTGCAGCCCGGTGAGACCCCCAGGGACTGCGGTGGGAGGGCCTTGAAGTCCTGCAGTTCATTGTTGATGCGCACTTCGTGGATGCAGCCATGGAAGCCGCCCAGCGGCCGGTCCACGCCCTGGCGTAAGGCCGAGAGCCCCGTGGAGGTGGGGATGCCTGTGGGAGGGAGCCAGGACAGCTGAAGACCCCCACCCCCCGCCCGTCTGCCCAGCGGTGCTCAGAGAGAGAAAGCTCTCAGGAGCTCATGATCAAGTGTTCAGAGTGCTGGGCCTCGGCTGGGCTGCCCGAGGAGGATAGGGTTAGAGTCTGGGCCTTCCCCACACAGGGACCTGCATCCTTGGTCCAGTCCCAGGACTCTGAAAAACTTGAATTCATTACCAATTTTAAATGCAGAAAAGCTCCCAGAAAGATCTGTAGTTTGAACGTCCCTAGAAATGGGAGAGGACCTGGTTCCTTCCTGCCATGTGGCCCCACTGGCTCACCTGAGGAAGCCCACCCCTCTTCCCCTGCTGTCCTCACCAGGTGTGGACACCCCCAGTTCCAGACGCTGCATGAGAACCCAGGGCAAGCCAGAGTTTGGGAGAGAAGATGTGGTTTGGGGAGTTGCCTTCACCAGCGGGGCTCTGGAGTTCAAGGCTTTCAGACTATTTTACTCCCCCACACCCATCCCTCTTTTCAGGATCTGAAAAGACTGAACTGACTCTCAGATCTTGCTTGTGTTTTCTCTCCCCTCCTGTTCCACTTCCTGCCCTCCCTCCCCCCTCACTTTGGGAGCCGGAAGCAGAGCACCCAGGTCTGTTGAGCAGGTGCAGGGGAGGGAGCAGCGGTCCTGGTGGGGGTGGTAGAGGGGAGAAACTGCGTCCCTTGTAGGATGGCTGTAGGCCTGGATTCCTCCCCAGGACCTCTGCATCTGGTCAGTCTGTTACCAGTGCAGATTTCTGGGCTGTGCTGCCCTCAGCAGGGGACACTATGGGTGAAGTCTCAGGAATCTGTGTCAAGTAAACTGCTCCAGTGTTTTTCTTATGGTGCTGGGGACAGACCCAGGGTGTCGTGCCTGCGGGGCAAGTGCTCTGTCCTGAGCTGCACCCTCACTCCCTGCTCCAGTGGCTGTCTCTGCACACAGCCCTCCTGTCCCCAGCATTTTAGGCTCAGGCTCTGCCAGACCAATGGACTTCCCCTTTTGGCCTCTATACCACCTGAATCTCAAACTCTTTATTCCTTTCCACTCACCAGCTGACACTTGACATGTCTAGGAGGTGGCAGGGCAGGGGGACTGTGACCTGAGCCTGCAGACTGCAGCAGAGCCTGGATCCCGCGTTCTCTTGGAGTTCCGCCCTCATTCCCAGCCTGTGCTGAAAGTCCTCTTCTCCCCATAGCCTGACCCATGCCTATGCACTCTGAGGACTAGCATTGTGATCGCTTCCTCCAGGAAGTCTTCCCTGATTGGTTTTGCTGAGACGAGTAGGCTCAAGGGAGGGGGCATTACCTCCAAGGTAGAGGGGGCTACTGATGCCCACTGCTGGCTGCTTCTGGAGCTTCCCCAGGCTCTTGGGGGCCCCTTTGTCCACCACCAGGTTCAAGGTCTGGTTTAGCATTACCAACTCCACGCTGTGAAACTGCCCGTCATTCACGGTCTCCACGCTGGGCAGGAGAGAAAGGGAAAGAGCTAGAAGGTTCACGGAGCGTCTTCTACCGCCAGGCACTGGCTGCAAACCACCTGCATTGCTTGCAGCTTGTTTTACTTTTTATCTGGAACTAACTTTGAGCTTACATATGTTACAAAAATGAAAACAGTAAGAATATATATGTTTTTTTACCCAGCCAGATTTTCCTATTTTTGGGTGGTGGTACTGGGGTTTGAACTCAGGGCCTACACCTTGAGCCACTCCACCAGCCCTTTTTTGTGATGAGTTTTTTGAAATAGGGTCTCATGAACTATTTGCCTTGTCTGACTTTGAACTGTGATCCTCCTGATCTCTGCCTCCTGAGTAGCTAGGATTACAGGCATAGCCACCGGTGCCTGGCTCAGATTTTCCTATTACACCCTCTTTGTTTTACCATTCCCTTCTTTCTGCACGCACACATACGTCATGACCCTTGCCCCTGGGAAAGCTCGTGTGCACTTCCTAAGCACAGGGACCTGGGTCAGTTTTACTCTCACACCACACTGAATTTTCTAATTTTCCAATGAACCCAACCATGTCCTCTGTAGTATTTTTTCCCCTTCCAGTACAAGAGCCAGTCTAGGTCAGGTTTGCATTTAGTACCATTATTTGCATTTTCTTATCATTTCCCAGTTAGGCAAACCTCGGTTTTGGCTCCACCTGCTGATGCCACATGGACATTAATTATTCCTACATTTTTCCTTCAACTGCCCCATTTTCTCCATGAATGTCAGTAAGGATACAGGCTGGAGTTGTTCTAAGAAATGTTGTCCAAGAAAAAAATTGCTTTGGTATGATTTATCTTTTTTTTCTAGTACAAATGAAATCAATTCTCTCATGGTTAAAATTTCAGTAGTTTCCTTGCCCTACCTGCGCTTATCCTGTGGCCACCAGTGGTGTGCACACCACCCTTTGGAGGAATAACGTCACATGACACTCCTGCCAAGCAACTTTGTTGTCCCCATTACAGAAATGTAGAGACAGAAGCTTAGCTGAATGCAAGTTTACTCAAGATGCCCCAGCTACTAAGCGACAGGGCAGGGATTTGGACCGAGCTCATCCCCTTCCCGATACCGCCTCTGCGAGTATCACAGACACTCAAGAGGGCTTGTAGGTGCTAAATGGCTCACTTATATTATCTGAATGTCACAATCATTCTATGAAGTGGGTACCAGATGACTCCATTTCACAGATAAAGACACCAAGGCCTGGAGAGGTTAAGTGATTTAGCTGAGGTCACCCAGCTAATATACTTGCCAGAAACAGAAAACTTTTGACTTCAAAGTTCTCCTCTACCTTTGGCAGGGGACAGAAAAGGGAGGTGATAGGAGTTTGGAGATGTGACAAAAGGGGCTCAAGGAGGAAGGAGTAGGCGGATGTATTCAGGTGTGGGGGCAGACACGAGACTCCCTTTGTCCTGAGAGCTCCTTGGGGAATCCCTGCTGGCTCTAACAAGAGAGTCCCAGCAGGAAGGCGGCAACAGTTTCAGTGGCTGACTTGGATTTAGACATCTCTGCAGCCAAAGAGGCAAGGAAAGTGTTTGGGAGCAGACAGGCTGTGCTGGGTGGAGGGGAGCAGAGCCCACTCTCACTCCTTACTCCCGATGAGCCATGGCCAATCACAGAAGCAGAAGCCCCTGTCTGGTTTCCTCCACAAAAGAGGCAGGGGGTAACCTTTCAGAAATATCCTGAGGACCGCTTCAGAGGAGGTTGCAAAAATACTGTGTGGACTGTAGGTGACTGGGAAAATGTGGCAGTTACGGTGTGACTTAGAACGTTAGTAACAAGAACCTATCATGGCTGCAACTCTACTGATTCCTATGCTAGTGCTGATCCTTGGGGGGAAGCAATGGCAGAGGGGAGCATGTGGGACTCCAGGACCACCGAGCTCCACCAGGAAATCCCTCACAGTCATTCGTCCTTCCAACCATCTGTCATAGTACCTATGAGTTCATCTATCCATCCATTCTCACCCACCACTCTCCATCCATCCATCCATCCATCCATCCATCCATCCTAATTTATCCTCCCATTATCCATCCATCCATCTACCCATCCCCCTCCCTCTACCATCCTCCTATCCATTCATAATTCACCCACCCATTAGCCACCCAATTATCCATTCATCCATCCATCCTAATTTATCCACCTATCATTCATCCATCTACTTACCCATCCTCCCTCCACTGTCCTCCCTTCCTCCCGTCCATTCATCCATCCGTCATCCACACTCCCACTCAGTGCCTGCTCTGGACCACATTGTCCTAGGTGCTGGAGACCAGTGGCAAACTCACAAAGCTCACAGTCTCCTTTCCTTAGCCTTTCCTCTAAGTCAGATGACCAACTTATCATTGTAGAATCTGGCCAAGAAACGGGGAATTTGAAGGAGGAGTGGTGGTTAAAGAGATCATGGGGGGGTCTGGTTTGGGATGGGAGCCGAGCACCTGTATGGAGGCAGAGCTGTTTCCATGTCAGAAGTCTAACCGGAGCTCCACATCGAGAGCTGAGGACAAGGCAGAGGCCTGTGATCCTGCAGATGAGGTGGTGACGTGGTGGGGCATGATGTGTGCAACCCAACTTCCAATCCTGAGTCCTCACTAAGGTTTCTAACCACACGTGCAAAAATGCACGCTTATGTCTAAATTCAAAGCATGTGAGTAAGAAAACAGAATTATGCACTACTGGATAATAGAGGAGCAGGGCGATTAGAAAAAGTAAGCAACAGAGGGAGTAAATCTGATTAAAGAACAATATCTGCATGTCTGAAATTCCACTGTGAAACCTCCTTGATCAAGCAGTACACACTTTAAAAATGAAGTCCAGGAAGGTGAACAGGTCCTGTCTGGGGGTAGGTACTGGTGGGAGGGTAAAGGGGGACGGTGAAAAAGGGTGAAAATGGTGGATGTATTTTGTATTCAGGTATGGAAATAGGACAATGAAACTTGTTGAAATTGTTCTAAGAAGGTGGAGGGGGATGAGGGAGAGCGATGGGAGGGGTGACTCTAATTAAGATACAATGTAAGCACATATGTAAATATCACAATGTATTCCTCCCATACAACTGTTATATGCTAATAAAAATAAATAAATCTACTTTTTAAAGTTAAACAAATGCCCACATACATGTCCAAATCACCCTATAGGCTGACGCGGTCCAGAAGGCATGGGATTCCTGTGCTAATCAGCTTTCTGTTGCTGTGACACATGCCTGAGAAGTCAACCCAAGAGGAGGAAAGGGTCATTTTGGCTCAGGGTTTCAAATGTTTCCATCCATAGTTGCTTGGGACTTAGGTGGCACAGGGCATCGTGGTGGATATGTGTGACAGAGGGGCCTGTTCACTTCCTGGTGGCCAGGAAGCAAAGGAAGAGGAAGGGGAAGGGTCCCAATATTCCCTTCAAGGACACACTCCCAATGACCTAACTTCCTTCCACTAGGCCCCACATCTTAAAGGTTCCACCGCCTCCCAATAGCACCACAGGCTAGTGGCCAAGCCTTTACTGCATGGGCCTTTGGGGGACTCCTCACCCAGAGGGATGTAAATAGATGCGAGGCAGCCCCCTGTCATGAAGGGTGCTGTGGGGCGACAGGAGCTGTGGGTGGGTGGTCTTGACGCTCCCTTCCTGAGCTAAGGTTTGGGGAGTTGAGGCAGGTGATTTCCCACACAGAGGCACAGTGAATTCACACCACTAGCTTCGTCCTGACTTCTGGCTCCAAGCCCATTCCCTTCACTTCCTGAGTTCCTCCAGCCAGCCCAGTCATTGGTGCATGGCCTCTGATGGCCACCAGCTTAGAGACTGTGGCTTGTCTGGAGCCGCAGGAGCCAAGAGGACTGTGGCTTCCAGCTCCTGTGAGATGGCTCTGCAGTGCCCAAGCACCCCGCCCCACACACAGCCTCACCCGAGCCTCATCTGATGGAAAAGCCCGAAGCAGGCCCCTTCCTCCAGGAAGACTCTGCAGCCCCTTCGTGCTTGGGGGCTGAGAGATTTGCTGTCACATTGGGTCCTCCAGTGAGTCACATGACCTTGTTTCAGTTTCCTCCTCTACAGAGTGAGCTTTGTACCCATTTCACACTGGGTTTTAGTAGGGCGTTGATGGTGCCCAGCAGGTGCCCAGCACAGGGTGATTCCCTACCTTGGGCTGGGCTTAAGGAGCTGAGTGTGGGGGGTCCTGGGCTGGGAGTCCAGAGCTCTGAGCGTCTATACCCTTGTACTGGCTCATCACTGTGTCTGAGGAGGGTGCCCTAAAGGAACTTGACCAAGGCTGTGCCTCTTGGAAGTGGACCTGAGGCCAAAGTCAGGCAGATCTCAAATCCCAACCTCCCATAACCTTGTCCAGGCCAGTCGATGCTCACAGTTTAATGTCACCTTTGTCTTGGCACATCTTAAACAGGGACTCCTGGAAATAGTGGTTAAAGCCAGTGTTTATAAACTGTGGGTCCCTGGAGGTTTGGGGTGGGCAGTGAGAAAGCTCTGATTATTTACCTCACTCCCAAATCAGGATGGCTCTGTTCCTACCTACTTTTTAAAAACACACAAATGTTGACTTTGAAAGAAAAATATCAATGGTAAGAATGGCTCAACTGCTACAAAAGAGAGGAAGAAAATACTGAAGAAAAGCAAAACAGAACAACAACCTGCTGTTTGCTGTAAGAAGAATGGTCAGAGTGTGTTGCCAAAACCCGAGAAGGAGTCTCCCAGAGAGGTGTTTAGGGATTTCAGGGGACAGAAGGTCTCCCAAGACTCTTTGTCATCCACCTGGTGACACCGACCAGCATCAAGTGGGAAGAGGTGGTGGTGGTGGACACGGACAGAGTTGGACTAGGTGGCTCCTGCCCAGGGCATGTGGCATGGCCACACACATCACTAGGGTGGTCCACAGAGTCCCCTGCTTTTAGTAACAGAGAGGTGGTGTGTTGAGTGCTTCGTAGAGGTCAGGGGCTGTGTGTCGGACCTACACCCTCTCACTGAACCCTAACCACACCCAAGCCGGGGGCATAGGCCTTTCTGCTTTCGGAATGAGACTCAGAGACTCAGGTGCCCAGCTCAGCAGAAAGTCTTGCAGAAGAAATGGTGGGGGAGGCCACACGACCGACCGACCGCACTGAGTGAGGAAGGGAATTATGGGGTGGCCATTTCCCCAGGTGTTGGCTCGCACCTGGATGCTGAGTGTGACCAGTAGGTGGCTACAGAGCTCTACAGGAACAAAGAGTTCCCAGCTTAGGCAGCAGCCAGAGACCTCCCACCCCACTTCAGCAACCCCCACGCCTGCACTCTAGTGACCCGTCCGGCTGGGGGGCAGGACATGGGACAGCAGCAGGTTTTGGTAGATGCCGGCCCTGGGTTTACACCCCAGCTCTACCACTGATTGGACTATGTCAGCGCCAAGCTTCTTATCCCTCAAACAGCAGTGATGACGCCTGCCCAGGCTTTTGCTGAAGATGGAGTGAGACAAACACCTTGGCAGTGGGAAGGACCGTGGAGTCAGAGTCCAGCAGCAAGCATGGAGCCAGGTAGGGCTCGCCTGCACGTCCTGCTTTATAACAGTGGACACTGAAACACTGGGAGGTCTCACACAGACACCCCGAATTTCCACTCCTGATGGTCTGTACTCCTGCATGGTGGTACCTGCTGTAGCTGAGGTCAGAGCCCCTTTGCAGGGAGCCTGTCCCCTCCAGGCTAACCCCCCCCCACCCCCATGGCTGTCACTTCCCTTCCCTACAGGCAGGTGAGTTTGCCTCTGGCAAGCTTCAGTACTGAGGATTACAGAAGTTCTGCTCACTCCAAGCAGGGAAAACCCACATGGGCTCTGTGCATTTCCCCTGGGGCTGGGAAGGCTATACCTGCCCCACCTCCTGTGACTATAGCTGGGCAGATCAGCAAAATCAGGTGTGGGCAGCAGGAGACCCTGGCTTCGGGTTTGTAAGCACTGCACGGGCTCAGGCTGTTCGCCTTACTGTGGGGCTGGTCCAGGGGATCCTCAGTGAGCAGAAATCTGTAGGCCACTGACTCCCTTGATAGACCAGCTTTGGTTTAGCTCCTGTTCTCTTCTGATGTGGCCTTTCTGAGTGACCAGAGGTCACTGCAGTGACTCTGAGGAGCATCTCATTCCTTTTGGCTGGAATGGCCTCCTGCTGTCAGCTCAGAACAGCCCTTCCTTAGCTTCTGCTGCTCCTAGCTGAACTCCCACTGGTGGGGAGGGGTCACCCCTCACCCTTCTCCCTCTCCCCCCAGGCTGTGGAAGTACTTCTTAGTATAGGTCAGGGCTGGTGCCCACATTCCTTTTTCCTCCAGGGGTCCCTCCCTGTTCTCCAAGCAAAAACACTTGCTCCTTCAGAAGTTTCCACAGGGTGCTCTGATGTCCCCACCACCTGTGACTTCTGCCTACACCCACCGCTCTTCCATGTGTGTCTGCTTCCCTGGCTGGTGTGTGCTTAATCCTGTGTCCCCTACACCTGGCCAGGCCTGGCCTAAAAGCATGGTGCCCTATAGGTGTTTCCCAAGTCAATCGGTAAGTGAGAGAAAATTCCAAACTACTTCAAATCTGACCAAACATGGCACAAATGGAGAATCCCACACTTCACCTCATGTGGCAGGTCATAGGCAAAACAGGTGCGGTGAAAATGTTGCATAAAATTGCCCTGAGGCTGTAAATGAGGTGCACATGAAGCGTAAGTGAATTATGTGTTTAGTCTTGGGTTCCACCCTTGAGATATGCAAATATTCCAAAATCCGAAACCCAAAAGGTTTCTGGTCCCAAGCATTTTGGATAAGAGGTGCCCAACCTGTACTGAGACAAAGACAGGGCTGCCTCAGAGAACAGCATTTGGTGTTACTGTTTTCTTTTTTTTTTTTTTTTGTGGCTTCACAGAGAAAAGCATTTGGAAGAAATCATTTTAATGTGGCATTTTTGGGAAGAAATCATTTTAATGTGGCATTTTTGAATCCTGGGGACCTTATGATTGTAAGCTGAAGAGTGCTAAAGATCTATCACCAGGCTTGTCACGAGGATCTGAGGATCTGGCTAGGTCCCCGGACATATGTCATTCAGCTCCTCCCAGGGTCAAGGTTAAGAGCCTGAAGTCTTCCCCCTTGGACTTGCCGAGCCTCATCTGACTCCCAGAGGGCAGCTTCAGAGGGCAGCAGTTCTCTGTTGGTTTCCACACTCCAACCAGAAACACCACCCCACAGCCAGTGAGGGAGAGGGAGGGCTAGGCGGCCAGGGAAGGCCCCACAGTCTGCCCAGGGTCCAGTGGCTCTGGAAGCCTGACCTCTGCCTCTGTCCTTGACAGGATAATGTCAAGACTCTGCTCGGAGGTCCCCCTAACATTGTCCACAGTGTACAGGAGGAAACGGAGGCAGGAGGTGGAGTCATTTGTTTAAACCCGGTCCTGGTGACACCAAATGCTTTTTTGAGGCATGTGGTTTGTCAGGTGGCCCCTGGCCCTGCCTTCCCAGTTCGCAGTCCTTCCCATTTGGCCCAGGGCCACTGGTTCCAGGAACAGATGGAAGGAGGCCCACTCTCTAGGGAACCTGAAGGCCCCTGGGTGCGCTCCTTTCCTGGTGTCTGCTGTACCCAGTGTCCCCAGGCCAGCCTTGTCTCTCCCTGCCCTCTGCCATGAGCCTCTGGCTCTGGCTGATGCCCTGGCCATTATCCCCTGCCTTGTTTTGTCTCGCTGCTGTCCTAGCCTGGCTGTCCACTTGCTCTCCCTTTAAGAGCCAACCAGATGGCTCCTTCTCCAGGGAGTTCTCATGTGTGAACTGGCACTGGTCACACAGAGCACCAGAATCCCCTAGAGGGCTCCCTAAAACACAGATTTTTGGGGGGCCACCCCCCCTCCAGCTTCAGATTCAGAGTTCTGGGGTGGGGTCTGAGAAAGGGCATATCTACCAAGTTCCCAGGTATGGCTGGTACTGTAGCCTCTGGGGCTACTCTCTGGGAACCACTGGCTGTTCTCTTCCCCTCCCCTCCCCTCTCCTTTCTGCCTTTCTGTGTTCTTTCTTCCCCTTCTCCTTCCTTTCCTTCTTCTCTCGGTGCTGCTCTCGTGCTCTGCCATTGAGCTACAGCCATCTCAAACCACTGGTTTTCAAACTGGGTTTGTTGGAGGAGAATCAGGGCCCTTGAGACGACAGTGTGGAGGAGGGAGCATTGCCTCTTCCAATCCTGCAGGGCAGCTCTGCCTCTGTCTGTTTGATATTCTTAAGCTCAATATGACATTTCAATTGAAGAAAAGATTTAGTTACAGACGACAAAGTCCACCAACTGCCGCTCTGTACCAGGTCCAAATGAAGTACCCTCTGGCTTCCAGAGGGGAGCATGACCTCTCTTTCCACTGTGGCCCCCACATCTGGTCCTCTTTCTTCTGGTGCTTTTACATGGTTTGGGGGTAACATAGATGTTTAAAAATTCTAGCTGTTACTTTTAAAAACTATTATAATGTAGAAGAAAAATAATTTTTTAAAACTACATAGTACAGGCTGAATATTCTTATCTCTTATCTTGGCTGCCATCCAAAGGATGAAGACATGGTCCCCAGCCTGGACACTCTTGGGAGGTGGTAGAACCTTTAAGAGGAGGGAAGTCCTTCAGTCACTGGGGAAGTCCCCTTGAAGGGGATCCTGGAACTCCACCCATTCTCTTCCTCTGCTTCCCAGTGCCAAGAGTGAGCAGTCTACTCCACCATGATGTACAGCCTCAGCACAGACCCAAAGCCATGAGGCCAAACAACCACGGACCAAACCCTCCAAAACCGGGAGTCAAAATAAACCTTTCTCTTTATATAAGCTGATCACCTCAAGTATTTTGTTACAGTAACAGGATGCTGACTAAGCCACAGGGGGACTGTTGAAAGACTGAAGTTTAGGACAATTGTCCTTCAGGACATGCTGAAAGTCACTTGAGCAGGAGTCTTGTTCCTGGAGTGCTCCTGAATTTCCTCCCCTTGAGTTGCAATCTAATCACCCCGTTTTCTTTCTTAAGCTAATAAAAGATTAGGATGACATTTTGAAAAGGGCATCTCATTAAGCAGCTTGGTGCACACTGGAGCACCTGGCTCCATGCACAGTAGCCAGTTGGCCATTTATCTTATGGTAATGAGGTGTCATTTCCACCAAACATGGGCTTGCCTTCCTCTCTTGCCTCTGCCTCCAACCCATCTCTCTCCATCCCACCTGGCCCTCTGTGGGGAAGAAGGGGGGGGATGTGTGTGTGTGCACAGTGGGGGTGGGGACAGGCCATCTCAGAGTCACTTGGCCATGTCCTCCACAGAGGCATGCTCAGTGGCTCCTTACCTGTACACTGTGGTTGGGGGTGAGCTCAGGCTGTCATACACCAGCCTCACGTGGCCCTGGTACAGCTCCAGTGCCAGGGGGTCGTTATCCCCCTTGTAGAGGAGGATGCCATTGTCCTTGTCAGTGGCCACCTGGGGAGAGTGGCCAGACATGTGAGTTAGATAGAGCTGATGTGACTCACAGTCCCCTCTTCTAGAAGGCTGCTCAGAACCCAGTCCCGATCTGAATTCATAGCCATTCCTTCTCCCCGCTCTAGTCCGCAAGTCCCCAAGGCCAAGAATTCTGCTTTAGCAAGTGCTCCCTGGGCACCTGCTCTGTGCCTCTCCGTTCACCCTGGGCGTCTGTAGAGGACTGGTTCCAGGGGCCCTGCGGATACCAGAATTTCGGATGCTTTGGTCCCTTACATAGGATGCCACAGGTTTTCACAGAATCTATGCACACCCTCCTGTACAAGTTCCATCTTCTCTAGGTTACCCATAATACCATGCAGGTGCCGTGTACGCAGCTGTTGGACTGTGGGGCTTGGGGCACATGGACAGTGCAGCGGCAATATTTTTCAAATATTTTTGATCTGCAGTTGGTTGAATCTGCAGACGTGGAACACATGGTAAGAATAACAGCTGCACGCCAAAGACTAACAAGCGGCTACCATTAATTCAGTGTATTCAACAGGGCAGCCTCTGTGCTAAGAGCCATCTGGGCAATTTAAAAAAGTCTCTGTGTCTGGCCCTTGCCTGTGGCTTTGGAGGGTCAAGACCTGTAGGATTTGGGGCACCCCAGCTGTTCTCCGAACAGCTTGGGGGCCATGTGAGCGCCTTCTGAGGGCGGGGAGGGCCTCACCTGCAAGGAGATGTTGGCTTGGGGCCGGACCTTGGCGGAGGCCAGTTCCACGTAGGAGTCCTTGCCCACGAAGTTCACGGTGATAAGCTTCTCACACCGTGGCCCGGCGAAGCCCGGGGGGCAGCGGCAGGTGGGCTCCTGCTGAACCACAATGCATTGCGCTCCATTCTGGCACTCATACTGGTCGCAAGGGCTGGTCTGCAGCAGGACCATGGGCGGAGGATGCTCACAGAGGAGCCCGCTGGAGGAGGGCAGGGTGGGGTGTGCAGTGTGCGGAGGGAGAGGGGACAGCAGTTATTAGTGAGGCGCCTCCAGCAGAGAGGGGGGTGAGATGGGAGGTGAGACCAGTCCCAGCCTTCCCTCTGACTGGAGGAAGTTTCCCCATTTGTAAAATAACCAGGTCAGATTAGAGCAGTTCTTCCAATTGCAGAGTCAGAATTGCCTGGGTCAGACTCGTGGACAGTGCAGACTCCCCATCCATGGACAGAGGAGTGAATGAACAAACTGGTAGAGCCTGCAAAGAGATACCATCCAGCCTTAAAAGGGGAGGAATTCTGGCACCTGGCACAGCATGGATGGACCTTGAGAACATATGCCAAGTGAAACGAGCCAGCCTCAGAGGACAGCACTGTATGGCTCTACTCGATTCAAGGGCTGGACCCCATTCAAATCAAGTTCATGGGTGCAGAGAGCAGCCTGAGGTTGCCAGGGCTGCAGGGAGGGAGTGTGTGTGGGGGCGTTTAATGGCGCAGAGTTTCAGTCTGCAAAAGTTACAGAGGCAGATGTCTCCATAGCTCTACTGGAGCTGCCCCACAAATGCCACTGAGCCATAGCTTTGAACATGGCTAAGATGGTACACTTTGTTGTGTATACTTCATATGCTATTAAAAGAACTACAGACTCTCAGCCTGTTCCCTCTACCCTCATTTTAACTTGGTAGCTCAGGGGTGGAGCGCAGGACTCCATGTTTTCACGAGCCTCTGACACAGAGAACACCGTCCAGGTGTGTCCTTCCAGGCTCACGGTCTTAAGAGTCATGACCAAAGCTCATTTGCACTGTGTCCGTCCACTCTTACCAGTGACCACAGACACACAGGGGACTGTCGTGCAGTCTGAGCCCTGTCCTCCCTCAGTATCCCAGCTTCCAGGCAGGGTTAGGAGCTGGACCTGGAACACAGCTTCTTTTACACACCCAGACCTCTGGGCACCTGCCACTGCCCTTCCTCTCCCCTTTCTTCCACCAGACCTCAAATCCCCCCGTCAGACCTCAAATCCCCCCACAACCTCCATTTTCATTTTCTTTTATCTATTTTCCTGAGCTGGGGATTGAACCCAGCTCTTGGTGCGCTAAGCATTCGGGCTACCACTGAGCTACATCCCCAGCCCTGACCTTTTTCTGCCATTGGGATACAGTTTTTATTCTTCAGCCTAGAAAAACAGATTCCAGCCTATGTGGGTAGGTGGCTCCCCTGCTTCACAAGCTGGGCTCCAAGACGGAGGCTCCTTCCATGAAATGGAATTGTCCTCGCGTGGGTCATGTGAACTGGAGGCCAGTCCACCTCCTACATGGTGTTGCCCTGCTTATCTGTGGGGCTGCCTGGGCCTGGGTCTCCACCCCCTGCCATCTGCCCCTCTGCCATACCTGAAGCCCTGGGGGCAGGTGCATGTGTAGCCATTGATGGCGTCCACACACTGGGCCCCGTGGCGGCACTTGTGGGCCACGCAGTCGTCGTTGTCTGTCTCGCAGAGCTTCCCGCTGTAGCCAGGGACACAGTCACACCTGGAACACAGGTAGAGAGGGGGCTGCTTCCTCAGCGCCTGCCAGCTTCTTGTGGTGGCTCCCCACCCCCACTCTGTCACTTGCGTCCTCCCGATCTGCCAGGCCTTGCTCTGCTCAGCTTCACTATGGTCCGCAGCCTTTCTCCCTCCAGTCAAGGCCCATCTGCTTCACGTAGGGGCCAGGCTTGTCCTCAGGAGCCAGGCTGAGGAGCATGGGGTGAGTCACACAGCTTTTGGCTTGGATCTGCCACCTTCACCCAGAACTCACATCTGGTTGGGTCCTTCCTTTGTGTCAGGTGCTGAGCACCCTATCGTGGAGTCCTTTCTCTGGAGAAACCAGAGGTCAGAGAGCACCAAAGTCACTTTCCCAAGGTCTCATAGAGTGATTTACCTCCCTGTATGTCACATGCTGTTCTAAGTGTGTTGGCCACTCGTGACCTCTCAGTGTTTCAGTTTCCTCATCTTTAAATGCCATGAGTGATAAGTAACTCTGTACAAGTGAAGTGATACCCTCCATGGTGGGCACTACACATTGAATGAACAGTCAATATGACATGCAGGATGACGATAATGATGGAGAAGGTGACACGGGTGGCACAACCCCTGGTTTTGTTTTATTGCTTGCTCATGCTTTTCCCCAGAGACTCAAACAAAGAAAAGACAGGCAGACTGTTTTATCCCTTTATCAGGTGGCTCCCTCATATTTTCCAGGACAGAGGACGTGAACCATTGCCTCTCCACAGGCCCCGCACACTGATCCAGCCCTGCCCTAAGGAGCAGGGTGGCAGTAGCGCCATAACCATCTCTGCTAGCTAGGCCCCCTGAGTGCAGCCCAGAAACCTGCATCCATGGGCATCTCCATCTGGGGTAACATGAAACTGAAATACCAGTGTAGAAACAAGCCTGAGGGTGTCCAGGGGGCAGACCCCGAGAGCTGAGGCACACCCACAGTCACAGATAAGCATGGAGCTCATGGGACCGTCCACATGCTGTGAGGTCTGGGGACATCCCTGGGCCCACCAGCTGAATTCTACTGGGTAAGAGCAAAGGTAACAACCACTGTCTATCCAAGTCAGAGGAAGAGGAGGCACAGGCAGGAGGCAGAGGGCAGGCAAGAGCTCCAAGTACGTAGGTGGCCCTGCAAGGAGCCTGACTGAGGAAGAACCACAGCAGGGATGGCCCTACCTCCTGCTCGTCCTCACTCCACCTTTAGGAGTAGACAGTTGGGAGAGATTCACAGGTTGATCCTGGCATCTCTGGGGTTGGCGGCCTGAGCAGACTATGGTTTCATGAGAGGTGAGACAGTGCAGGGATGAGGAATTCCAAGGGAAACAAGTTGGAGTCTGAGGATTTGCTGGGCCTGGGTTCAAACACTGTGAAATCCACTAAGGTCTGGATCAGGTCACCTTGAAATATGTAACCTCCTGCTGCACTGGAAGCTCTGAGTTTATACATCAGAGGCCACCTTTAGCCAGTCTTTTATTTTTTTGGTTTTTGAGACAAAGTCTCGCTGTGTAGCCCAGCAGGCTTGGAACTCATGATTTTCCTGCCTCCACCTCCCAAGTGCTGAGGTTACAGGTGTGCTCCACCACATCCAGCTCAGCCAGGGTCTTTTAAAGACACTAACTGGGAATTCTGTGTGTGTGTGTGTGTGTGTGTGTGTGTGCACGCGCGTATGCGTGAGTGTGACATCCTCAGTCCACTGCAGTCCACTCCTCTGCGACTGGTAAAACTGGCCCTGGGAGGCATTTGTGTGTCTCCTGAATTCAAAAAGGTCCTTAAAAACAAACAGCTCAAGGTAATTGACCTTTTCTGAGGCTCTAATAGCTGGCTCTTATCAGGATAAGCGCCAACCTTTTAAAGCACGGAGTTCAAGGCTGCTGATGAGGTCTTTATTATGAATTAGGGAAGCTGTTCTCACTTCCAAATTAGGCAGTAGAGGCCCAGAGGCAAATATGTTTACATTCTTTTTTTTTTTTTCCTTAATTTGAGGGTCCTCTGGTCAGACACCCACATCTTGCTAAGACAGCATCTGATTGGGGGAGCCTGGGTTGGCTGGAAATTGCAGTGCTAATAAGCCTGGTGCTGCTGCTGCTGGTTTGGGGACTCACTTCCAACAGTAGCCTCCCTCCCTCCCTCCCTCCCTCCCTCCCTTTCTTCCGCCCTTCTTCCCTCCCTCCCACCTTCCTTTTCTTTTCTTTTGCAGTACTGGGGTTTGAATATAGGCTTCCTGCTAGCTAGACAAACTCTTCATCACTTGAACCACACCTCCAGCCCTTTTTTCTCTGGTTATTTTGGAGATGGGGGTCTCCATTTATGCTCAGGCTGACTTGGATTGTGATCCTCCTATTTTCTACTTCCCACAGTAGGTGGGATGACAGGTAGGCACCACATCCAGCTATTGGTTGAGATGGGGGTCTTGTGAACTTTTTGCCAGGGCTAGCCTCTAACTGTGATCCTCTAGATCCCAGCCTCCAAAGCAACTAGGATTACAAGTGTCAGCTCACCCATCCAGACTTCGCTCGCTTTCTGCCTCTAAGGGGACAAATTTCTGGGCCCAGAAATTCTTCCTTTTCTAAATGTTTTCTCAGAGTCAAACTTTCCTCCTTTAGGTCCACAGCAAGGGTCAAAACAGTACCGCAGCACTGCACACAGTGAGGACTGGCCTGGAGGGCTGGGCTGCAGATGTAGAGTGTGATTCTTAGATTCGAGGGCTCTGGGATTCTAAGAGTTTTCAAGTACAAGTTTCAGAGGCTCCACTGCTTTGAGAGTGGCCAGTGCTGAATCCCTGAGGTTCTGTGGTTTTATGGTAACACGAGCCTGGGGTTTTCCGAGGTCCTGGGTCTCCATGAAGTCCTGAGCTTTCCACTATAGGACCAGGACCTCAGACATCTAAGGCCTGAGAACTCACTGTCCTGTCCTGTAACTGAGAACGGACAGACCTGGTCCCAGGTAGACCTACAGTGTGGGCTTTGCTCCCCAGAAGCTGGAGACACCATTGGACAAAGGGTGGCTCGTGGTCTCCTTAAAGACTTGGCAATGCAGCACTGCGCTCCAGGCCTGGGAGCCTCATATCTAGGGGAGGCTCAGTAGGGCACTTCTGATGTTTGCCGAGGGCCCTTCCTGGGTCCCCAGCTGCTCTGGTCTCTGCCTGCTCCCTCCATGTGTCTCCCTGGTGCTAGAGGCTCCCTCGGGTGTTGGGCAGAGCACACTGGGGAGGAGACATTGAAAATGCATGTGGAAGACAGATTTGCGAACAGGAACAGCATTCTAGGCCATAGGACTCTGGGGTCTCCCTACTGGTTTTGAGGGGCTCAGGATCTTCAGAAGGGGCAGTGGCACAAGTGCTGTGTGAAGGGAAAAGGTCGAAAGAACCCAGGAGGGGTTTCCCAGGAGTGTCAATGGATTCTCAGGCTCAAGAACTGGGTGGTCCTCTCCTGAGGCCCCTCTCCATCTACCTCAGATTTGCTCATATGCCCCCCTAATGCTGATTGGCTGTGCTGGCTGCTATGGAGACAGTTCCACCAATGGCTGTGGCAGAGCTCCTGTCCTCCGCCTCCTCCCTTCCACAGGTGCATCTGCCGGCTACCTTGCCATAGCCACAGGAAGCAGAACACCATGGAGGCTGCACACTGGGAAGGTGACCAGATAAACCTGGGACTTTTTCTCCTATAGGATGGTCTGCTTCTTTAGTTCTGGAAAGGTGATATGCTAAGAAAGAGAGAAGGAGAAGGTGGGGAAGAGGGAGGAGGTGAAAGGAGGGGAGAGGAAAAAGGGAAACTCATTTCTCTCTGTCTCTCTGTCTCTCTCTCTCTCTCAGCAGAGACCTAGAGAGAGATGCCATAAGAGACAGAGGCAAAAACATAGGGCAATAGACATATTGAGGAAACCAGAACATGACTGATTAAGAGAGAGAAGCACATGATACCAGGAAAGGGAGGTAGTGGGAGAGAGAGACACACACCCAACTCAGAGCCTCAAACCCAGACTACTGGAGGTAGGAGTCCTCAGGGCTCCCTGCGGAACATAAAGCCAAGCCTTACCTGAACCCTTTGTCCAGGGAGATGCACTTGGCCTCATTCTGACAGAGGTTCATCTCGGGCACACAGTGGTCAATCACCTCATCGCACAGCTCCCCTGGTGGGAGTGGGGAAGACAAGTCAGGCATGAGGGGAACACTTGGGTCAGAAGGTCAGGAGATCATGGACATCAGGAGCCTGGCATTCTTCTCTTGGTACATGTATCCTTTCTCCTGTACCCCTGCCTCAGTTTCCCTAGCAGTGACACAGCACTTGTGCCACTGCACCAGCATTTGGCTGTTTTACTTGATCATTCAGGAGCTGTTACAGCTGAAACCAGTCTAGACCCTGACCTTGAGCTATGCTTATTTACTTTTGTTTTTGTTTTGTACCTATTTATTGGGCCTTCCTGTGTGGGAGGCATGGTGGCAGGTGCTGGGAACACAACAGTGACCCAGTCCTGTCTGCCCCATTGCATAGTTGGGGGGATCTACAAACAGGCAGGCAATTATCAGCCAGAGTGGTGGGTGCCACCATGGGGTGACTCTGGAAACACAGAGGGGACCCATAATCCCACCTTGGAGGTCAGAGGAGGCTTCCTGGAAAAGTGGACCAGGCTTGGTACCATGGCTCACCTGATGCAGAGAAGGAGGCCCCTGGGGTTCTTCAGGGAAGGAAATATGAAAGGAATTTGATGTTCTGCTTTTTGGATGTTCTGCCTTTGAGGTTTATAGAGATGAAAATGTCAAATGGTTTGTAAACGCCCGGAGATGGGCCTTGCCTGTCTCCTGAAAAGCTCACACCACCTGAAAATGTTTTAGGAACATAGGATAGCATGGGGAAGGCAGGATCTCATCTCCTGAGCAGTGCAGGAGTTTAAGGCCTGGCTTTCAGGTTTCATCAAACTCCATCCAGTTTAGTCAGGTGAAGAGAGAAGGCGGGGAAAATGTCTAACCATGGAGCTCTGTCCAGGGCGGGAGTGGGAGCAGGCTGTCTGGGCTCTCAGGCGAAAGGACAGAGGAGGTCCTCAGGGGTGGCTGAGCATACATAGATACAGTCCAAAGCCTGGTCTCCTTTGTGGTGGGATAAGCTGAGAGGGTGCTGAAAGGTTCCTCTCCATGTTTTACCCTCAGCTCCTCAAGGCCCCAGAGGTCACTGTGTTCACTATAAGTCTCTTCATCTTCCTTGTCCTCTGAGAGACCGGAAGAAGCAGACAAGTGTCTGTGGAGGACTTGGACATTTGGATTGGGACAGAGAAGCCATATGTTCTACTCTCAGGGATAAAGAGCAACGAATCAGATGTGCCCCTGCACATACGAGGTGGTTCCATGGGTAGGAGTCACATCTGTGTCCTCAGCTGCCCCTTCTCCATCTGCCTGCTGTGAATTCAGCTCAGCCCCTTCCTCCGGCACAGTTTGACTTTGTTGTTGTTGTTGTTTTGAGACAGGTCTCACTATGTAGCCCAGGCTGGACTGGCTACAAAGCCAATTTTGAAGCTCTCTGCTCCGTCCTTAGCTTCTGGGACTGTGGCTGTTTCTGACACCCAGCAGATTCTTCTGGTGAACAATTTAACTCTGTGTGGTGCTTCTCTTTTCTTAGGTAGACCAGAAGCCCTTGTGGCTGAGGGCATACCTCAGACATGGCATCTCCAGTGGCTAATTCAGTGCCTTGTGTATAGCAGGTGTTCTGTAAGTACTCCTGTTACTGACGCAACTCTTGCTCACACCTCTGCTCTCAGAAGATGGAGATACAGGGCATAGGGGAGACCTCCACGCACATCCTCCAGAACAGGGCAGGGCTGATAGAGTATGGTTTTCCCAGGTGGCCTTGGCATAGTCCATCAGTACCAAGGGCCTGCTTGGGGATCCCTGACTACTGGGCTGGATTGGAGAGGGATAAAGGGAGATATGTGGCTCCCTTCTCTGCAGGCCTAAGGACTGGCCGCAGATCACCACCCATATCTTCCTGCCTCCACTGCACTGCTGACATAAAGCCTGGGTCCAGTGGGGGAGGGTGTCAGAGCCTGAGTTGCACCATTCTCATTTTCTCCTTGCCTTGGGCTAATATTTCCTAAATACATTTCCTGCAAGCTAGTATCTGCAGGTTCCTGGTGGTGTTCTGGGCTGGAGAAAGAGGGAAGCCCTGAGATCAAATAAATCTGGGAACTCCTAGGTTATCAAACTCAAGTAGCGGTATTTTTCTGGTGGTACTGAGGTTTGAACTCAGGGCTTCATGCTTGTTAAGCTAGTGCTCTGCCACGCCCAAACTGCTTTCTGTAAAGCAGGAATTTTCAGAACTTCTAATATGCTAATTTGTATCACATAACTGCAAGAAAAGAGTTATTATATTCGGGGCCTCTCAAGGTTTTTTTTAAACCCAGGGTGACTTTTCCTCAAAGAATTCATGGAATTTGTGGAATTCCAGTCTAGGGTAGGCTATTTGAGGTTGATCTCATAACAAAGCAGGCTGTGTGTGCGTGCAACAACTGGTGGTATCTTGTTTCATAATTTAATAGTTGTTTAGCTGTTCTCTCGGAGGCTGTTAACATAGGAAGGGATTAACATAGGCGCTCGGATTGGGGGTGGGCGGTAGAATGATATTCCTGGAGAATACCTCCTGTGGACCCTTCCCATATTCTCCAGCTGGGATAGGGTCCCCTCTGTGGTGCCACAACCCTTGGGCTTCCACATGATACATTCTCATTCTGTTGACCCATGTGGCTTTCTCTACTGGACCATGAACTTGCTTTTGCACCCCCCCACCCCCATCTTAGCAGAGTGTCTGGAAAATGTGGATTTCCAGAGATGCTTGGCTAGACCTGAACAAAACCCTACCACAACACAATACTTGCCTCTGTGCCAGACCTCAAATTCACCAGGTCTCCAGGGCTCCCATAACGCATGAGCCTATGGAAGAGCCTTGAGAACTGGCTTCAAAGTGGGAGGGAGCTAGGGATTGCTGGGGCTGAGGGTGTGGGTGGAAGAGACAGGCATATGGTGGTTTTGGGATTTTAGTCTCTCTCTACAGGGACAAAGGAGGTGAGGGCTCCTCCTTTTAAGGATACCATCAGGAACAAGCTGCTCTTCTAATGACACCCTCCTGACACCCTCCACCCTCCTCAAACACAAACCACGCCTCCCGAGTGCCTCACCTGTGTAGTTGGGTGGGCACACACAAGCATAGTTGTTGACTCCGTCCACACACGTGGAGTTATTTTCACAGTCGTTGTCCTCACAGTCATCTGGGTTGACCTCACACCGCTGCCCCTCAAAGCCCAGGGGGCAGGAGCAGCTTTGGGGATATGTTTGGGGAAGGGGGAGCGGGGAGTCAGGGAGGGGGCAGGTTGGAAGGGTGGAGAAGAAAGTAGGGTGGGAAATACAGTTAGTCAGGTGTCTTGTCTGCATATGGAGGGAAGACAGTACGCGGCCTCATGAGCCCTTTGGAGACCCTTAGGAACTGAGGTCACCTCCTCCAGGCAGCGTTCTGACGCCCTGGCACTTGCTGCTGCTTTGTCCAGGGAGGCAATTCCCACCAGCAAGGCCTCTTGACCATTCTGTTCCCCCAGCTGGAAGTGGTTTCCGGGCCATGACTTAAATTCCTGCAGCTGCCCCCAAAACGTCCTTCCTTCTGCTACTCTGTGGCATCGTAGTTTCTTTTGTAGATGAGGAGGGACAGCAAAACAAACATCCCACCTGTGGATGTTTTCACTCAGGGCAGCCTTTCTGTGTCTTTGGGGGAGCAGGCATCATGAGCAGGGTCATGGCTGTGCAGCCGGGTTTCCTGGGATTGCATTCTGGTCTGCCCCTTGCTAGCTGTGTGCCCTGGGTGCTTGTGAAGAGTCAAGGAGGTTATACAAGCAAAACACTTGGAAGGGTGCAGAGCACACAGAAAACCCCAGAGCACCATAGCAGGTGTTCTCGACAACACTACCTAGTCCGTCACCTTTTCTGAGGGTGCTTCACCCCTAACACGATTCATCGTCTGAGCCCTGTTTCTGGGGGATGAGAGGCTAGAGTGGGAGGCCCCCGGTGAACTGTGTTGTCTCTGTTGTGTTAAATCTTGTAGAGAAAATCCTCACCACCCCAGGACTGGGCATGCAAAATAAGTCAGAACAAGGGAGCCTGGGCAGAAGGGACGAGGTCATGGGCTAGGAGGTGTTGGAGGTGGGTGGGTGTGTTTGATTGATTATTAAGTGCTCTGCAAAGCTGGCTCTTTCTCTGGCCCACACGGCTAGTCAGGGGGGTTGTGCCCCATCCATGAGTGTGGCACCAGCTTCAGAGACTGCTCTGGTTTGGGATGTAGCTTAAAGAAGTAAACTAAACTAGGAGACTGAATTTCTGTGCTCCAAGGAGTGAATCCTACCTCACCACTGTTTCTTTACGACCGGGAAACCATCTCACGTTTTCTACAAACGGCCAGGGACTACTTGGGTCCTTAGTCTTTGAGGAGTTTCCAACCAATGAACTGGAAATCTTTCTAAAACTTAGTTGATTGAGAACTCTTCAAAGACTAAGGATGGGTTTTTGGGAGGTACACAATCTCCTTCAGGGTCCCTGGCCTGCTGGGCAGGGCAGAGCCAACTTTCAGCGTTGGAGGTGTGTTTTTTGGCTGGGGATCAGTGTAGCTTCTCCTGGCTCCTACACTGAGTGAGCCATCGGAAGTGGGTGGTTTGGCTGGCTCCAGGCGGGAACAGGAACTCAGCCTTGAATTTCACTGTTTAGGAGTCGGGGTTGGGTGGGCTTGGCAGGAGGGCATGTGGACCAGCTGGGTTCCCGCAGAGCAGAACTGGGAGACAGACTTGATTTCTTCCACAGACCACACAACCTCTGGCCACAGTGCTCTTGATAAATAATTGTGTGCAACCTGAGCTCTCCAACATCCATGCAGAGCTCAGTATGGGGGCCTGGCCTCTACTGTGAGAGGCTGCTGCCCGGCCCACTGTGTTCCAGAGCCTTTGGGGGCCATGGCTGGGGAAAGCACATCTGAAAGCTGCTAGGGAGGCAGGAAGCAGGAAGGGCCTGAGGTTTGAGTAGAGGCCTGATGTCCTCCTAGGATGGGGATGAACAAAACTGAAATGACTTGTGTCTCCTTTGCTTCCTGTAACTAATGCCAGGGGGAAAGAGAACTGGAAGGGAGGTTGGAAGATTCAGGAACCAGTGTCAGGATATGTGACCATGCCTTGGTTTCTTCATCTGTTCAATGGGGCAGTGTCTGCCTCCTAGGTAGGGTCCTGAGGAGATCTAAATGAGTAGTCACTGGGAGCATGTCACCTCTGTTCATTAACATTTGTGACACAGGAAAAAGTGGTGGGGTTGGCAGGGGGGTGGGCTTTTCAGCCAGTACCCATCCTTCCCTGGCTTGAGTCAGCAACCACAGCCTCCTTTGGAAGCCTCCTGGCTTGGCGAGCGGAGGTTGGTACTGGACACAAATCCCTGCACTCTGGGCGAAGGATTTATCCCTTGGTGCTTCAGTTTCCTTGTGTGTAAGTTGGGATAACAGGACTTCCCTCATGGGGTACGTACAGCCTGACGTCACTCATGTGAGCTGTTACCTGAATCCATCCTTGTGGCTCTCGCTCAGGTGGCAGGTGCCTCCATGCTGACATGGATTCTGGATACAGGTGTTGATGGGCATCGCGCAGTCCTTGCCCTGAGGAGGACAGGGAGAAGAGCCTGGTGAGGGGTAGGCCTCCCATGGATGCTATGAGCCAGGAGATCTCTGGGAGCTCCCAGCATCCTCTGGGATGAAGCTGAGGAGATGGAGGGGAGAAGGGGAGGAATGTCCAGAGCCCAGGATTTTGGCTTAGCTTTACAAATTCTGGAACTCACACTCTTCTCGGTCCTCAACTGCTGGACAGGAAGGGGGCTTTGCCTGGTATCACATTGCAGCTCCACCTACTCCTGGCTGGCTCATCTTGACCCCTTGACTTTGCACAGCTCTTTAGCCTCTGATGGGTTCTTAGGAGAATTACACTTGTGGCGTCATATAAGGAAGTCTATGTTATGCAAATGCTTAGCACACAGTAGACATTCTGTACATTATAGCAGTTGGTATTAGTTTCATCCAAGTGGTAGAGTGCCTGCCTTGCAATCACAAAGCCTTGAGTTCAAACTCCAGTACCACCAAAACTAAACAAAAAACAACAAAATTCTATACCACTATTAGTTTCACCCAGATTTAAATATAGTCCACAACTTGAGTAGGTGGACTAAGGTTGAGGTGTGACCAGCAGACCTTGTCTCCTTTTAAGGGACAACCCCCAGAGTTTTCTCCTTGATAGGTTTGGAGTGGGGCCAGGGTCGGTGTTTATACTGCAGTTCTGTCAGGGAACCCCAGGTCGGGGGAGGCAGGGCTCCTTTGGGCCAGGCTCCTTTGGTGGGAATGTCCTATCTGAGAAGGAGCCAACTGCATGGCAGGTGGGGAGATCAGACCAGGCAGAGGGGATAGTGAGGACAGAGGCACTGAGACTGTGGACATCACCTGGTATCCCAGCGAGCAGCCCAGTTCTTCCTGGCCCTCTGGCTCCTGCTTCTCCTTTGGGCCTGGTGGACCAGAGCTGCCCCCTCATAGGGCAAGCTGTCTTATTCAGGACTTGGTAGCACGGGGTGGGGAGGTGTCTGCTGTGTCTGTCTTATCTCACATGCCAGGCAGGGGGGTCATGGGAGCCGGCACCTGCTCATCATTTGTCTGAGGAAATCTCTCCTCTTCCACTGCTGCCAGTGTCTGGGAGGGAAGGGGATCGGGGCTTCCTGCTGTGGGGTCACTGCCAACTGAACCTGGGGCCTTGGGCCAAGACAGCCTCTGCTGTGCTGTGGACTCTCAAATGCAGGAGCCCCAGGCCGCTTTCCAGCAGCCTGAAGGCATGGACCACATCTGTCTGGTTCTTAGTGCAAGTTCACAGTCTGCACAATTAAAGGGCCAGAGGCCTCTCCTCAGAGCCGAGAGGGAGAGTGCACTTTGAGGTGCTATGTAGGCTTGTCCTGGACCCAGTGCGATAGAGGGCCCTTTCTAAGAGTCTGTGTGTAGATGGAAAGTAGCACATTTTCCATTCTAGGCCTCATGCTAAGTGTTTTATATTCATGATTGTGTTTAACATTCCCAAGGACCCGACGAGATCAGTACAAGCGCTAATACACTCATTTGTACAGACAGAGGAGGCACACTTGGAAAGGGAGGTAATAGGTCCTACATTACATAGCTGTAAGCGGAGAGGCTGCAAGTAGCGGAGTCCAAAGTTGGTGCCAGGTGTCTTTATGTCACACCATGAATTCTGCCCTTCCCTAAACCTGGGTCTGGAGCGTGTGGATTGGAGCCCAAAATCTAGGCTGATGGCCGTGTGTCTGGAGGAAATGACTAGTTCTCTCTGAGCCTTGTTTTCATTCTCTATGAAATGAGAATAATAACACAGGTCGAGTAACCCTAGTCCCCCGCAAATCCAAAATGCTCCAAAGTTTAAATGTCATAGTGCTGACATGACACCGCCAGTGGAAGATTCTACACCTGACTTCACGTGATGGGGCTCAGTCGAACGCAGATACAGTAGAGATACTGTCTAGTATGCCAGGCTACGTGTAGAAGGTGCACAAAAAGCGCAAATGTACTTCCTGTTTAGACTCTTTAAGATTCCTCACTATCACAAACTTTCCAGAATCTGAAGTGTGAAACACTTTTGGTCCCAAGCATTTCAGATAAGGGATGCCCACTCTCACCCTGCCTGGTGGTGAGTTAACTAATGATTGGAAGTCACTTACTGCTCATGCCTGTGTGTGATGGCAGCTTTGTAAAGAACAGCAACAGTGACAATGACTGTGGTTGGAGGCAGGGGTTGATGTGGGTGATTAAAATTTTTCAGGTCTTTGGTAGGCACTAATTCAGGGGTGTATGTACAGGTTGTGGGGATGCTAGACAGACGGACTGTGGAGCACAGGACAGGAGAACCTTGAGAAGATCTACCTTGAGAGGGTCAGTCCTGGCTTGGGTCCAACTTCTGCTACAGGGTCTATAGGGTGGAGTCCTCCGAGGGAGCTGAGGATGGGGAGTGTGGCTGTGTCTCCTCCAGCCCTTTTCGCAGAAGACAGATCCTAGTGCTTGAAGACATGGTAACTGGGGCTGGAGGTGGGGAGTTCTGTCACTTCTGTGTCCTTGGGACATAATCACATTGCTAGTGCCTGGCTAATTAGCGCGATTCAATTCTTTTCAGCACACTTTACTCAAATCCAAGAGATCTGTGATGGTCCTCGGTCCTCCTCCACCTTCTACCTCCCACCCTGCTGTGTATGTGTGTGTCTGCACACACATTCTGGCTTTTTTTTTAAAGAAAGAGACTAGAAACCTCTTCCTGAGACGGGGCTGGGAGAGTCACTCGATGACCTTGCTCCTCAAACTGTGCTCCTTGGACTCCTAACAAGGGCATCCTGGGAGCTTGTTCAATGTGGTCAGTCTCAGGCCTGACCCAGGCTCCTGAATCAGAGCCTGCATTTTAATAAGATCTCCAGGCCATTCTTGCGCAGACTCAAGTTTGAGAAGCACTACTCTGAGATGCTGAACACGTGTGCGTGAAGCTGAATGGCTGAAAAAGAACTGGCCGGCAGGAATTTGCATTTCCCCAAATCTTGGATTAGTGGCAAGACGGTTCCATTTTGTGAAAAGTTCATCGAATGCTGGCACTGAGATAGGCAAACTACATAGGTGACCCCTTTCAACCTCACCACAGCCCTGAAGGTGAGCACAAGTACTCCCATCTATAGGGGGCAAGGTGAGGCTAGAATCAGTGGCTGCAGAAGTGGCTGGGGGTATAGACTTTCTTGCAAGAGAAGGCTGGGTTTTGGTTTCAGCTCATGCACTTCCTAGGTGTGACAGCTTGGGTAAGCCCTTTCATCTTTACAAACCTTAGTTTCTTCATCTATCAAAAGAAACTTATTTCATGGGACGGTTGAAGCACTACACAAGACAGTGCACTTAAACTGCTTCGTGATGGCTGGCTTTTGTATATCAGCAGAAGCTGCTAAGCTTGTCTGTAATATTGCAACGTCTCAAGGTCTTGCAGCTAGTCAAATGAAGGTCCTTGACAGTTCACCGCGCTGTAGACTGACGATGAACCAGCAACGGCACTCCAGTCACTGACAGCCCACCTCACACCCTGGTATGAGGGACCAGCATGCAAGGGTGAAGGTCAAAGGTAGCAATGCACCAGCTTATCAAGTGCTGCATACTGTCAGGTTCTGTCCTAGTGTGCTGCCTACATTAGTGCACATTTGCTTCTTACAGCAAACCTGTGAGACAGGTAGAGAGGAGAAGGCTGAGCTGAAGTCACTGGCCACTGTCACACAGCTAGTAATGAGGAAGCTGGAATTCACACAGGTGTTTCTCTGCATAGTTCGTAGCCTCATTTCCCCACTGAGGACACACGAGGAAGTTGCAGAGGAACCACGCCTCCCGAGTAAATCACTCTCAATCTCACTTCATCTCGGCTACTGACTGTGCATGTGGGAGTGTGGACTGCACAGGTCTGTGACTTTCTGCTGGATTTGGGGCCTTGGAGATGGCTAGCTTTGGAGGGAATCCTTGGGCTGTATTGTCCCATAGGTGGCGCTCTAACACCATCTGCTAGAAGCATGAGAAAGTCACCAGGTAACTGTTCCCCAGACAGAGTCAGTCTCTCAAACTTGTCACTACACACGCACAGTGGGAATGGAGATGGGGCAGTTCCGGCCCCGTCACTCAACGTGTGCTGGCACTGGGTGGGCAGCAGGGCTGTCTTGAAACTCTTGCCACACTCAGTGCATTCTGATGGATACCCTGGAAGGCGAGGGTTGGAGGGGCCTGCAGAAGAGGACTGAGCTGCAGCTTTTCTGATGCAGGGAGGCGCTGTGACGGACTCAGCTAGCCAGCAAACCCTCCATGGGAAGAGACTTTGGCTTGGAGTCCTAGAGCTCTGAGTGCCAGCCCCTCTCACTGGTCACAAGCCCTGCGGACAGTCTGGAGCCCAGTTCCACGTCTGTTAAACGAGAGCTAAAGAGACCTCCTTCACAGGTTTGCTGGGAGTGTCTAAAAGGAAAAGGTGGGTGGAATGCCCAGTGCAGGGCTTAGCGTGTAGTCGGTGCTCTAGTAACAGGTTCTGGATGGCGTTGAGTGGGAAGAAGGGACAGAGGGTCTCCCTGGAATCAGCCTAGATGTCTTGGGAGGACTGGGGTCTCCATCCTTTTGCTGGCTGACCTGAGCCTGTCAACGACGTGGGTGAACCTGGCAGCCCCAGGCCTTTGTATCCCCTATCTCTCATTCCTCAGCAAGCTGGAACCAGCACTATCAGGGTAGGACTTGGGGAGGGAAAGGAGGTTCTGGAAATGCATTGGAAGGGGAGTCAGGACAGTGTGTTCACCCAGAAACGCTTTAACTCTTTGGGGCGTATTTCCCCAGGTTCACAAAGAAAACACAAAGCTCACATTCCTCCTTATCTCATCATCCTTGTCAAGACTACATGGCATGAGCATGTGTGACCAGGCAGCCTTAGCCAGTTTGGAGGGGAACAGGAGTGTCACTGGCAAATGCTACTTTGGGGTGACCCGTGATGCGGAGTTATCCAGGTTGCCCTGGATGGGGCCAGCTGGCACAGGTCCCTTGCCTTGGGCCAGGACAAAGGAAGAGCCTGAGCGTGACGGTGGGGGTGGACCTCCTCCCATACCTTGTAGCCATAGGGGCAGGTGCAACGGTACGGGTCCACAGGATCCTGAGTGCACGTCCCATTGTTCTTGCACGGGCTGGAGAGGCAGGCATTGCACTTGGCTGCAATGTTGATGTCCACGGGCCCTGGGCAGGAAACCAGAGTGTTGGTGGCAGGTCTCTGAGTGGGCTTACTGTCACACCTTCCTTCCTCCCTACTCTGCTCCCTCCTCATCTCTATACCCAGAGGGCAGCTGGCTCTGTCAAGACTGCACATCCCATCTGGCTGGAGTCCCGTTAATTCAGCCATTGTCCAGTGAGTAAAAATCACAGTGGGACATCATACAGAAGCACTTCTGCAGTCAAATCAATTACTGTAATTAGCCTGATCCAATTTGGGTGCTAATCTGCAAACAATGCACCATAATTACAAACCCTCTGTGCATCTTCATATTCCAGGAAGGTCTGGACCAGCCTCTGTTTGGAAATCCACTTCACTCCCAAACATCCCTCCCTGTGGAGTAGTCTGTGCCAGGCCAAAGGCACACACAGGAAGTCCTCCCTGCAAAGTCCTAGTGTAATGATGCTCACAGGGAGGATGTGACAATGTCCTCTGGGTTACTTCACTCTCATGATGGTCTCAGCTGCCTCCTGCTTCCTTTAGCTATATGGGCTGGAAGGAGGTCATGGTTCTCATGTGGAGCTCTGTGTCTTGCTGCTGTGGCCTGCCTTGACCATGAGCACAGGACTTACAGGCCCTACTTAATGCAAGGACTTTAAATGATCCTGGGGCCAACAGTGCTCACCCTGGAGATGGGTTGAGATGAACCCCAGCGAGTGACTCTGTGTGTGTGTGTGTGTGTGTGTGTGTGTGTGTGTGTGAGCAGAAGGGCCTGACTGAAAGCTTACACCAGCAGGTTCAACTTGGGCTTCCCACTGTAACAGGGATGGGACAGGGGAATAGGAAAGTGCAGTTTGATCAAGAGAGGATGGAGACAGACCAGATAAACTGTCACAAAAATCCTGCCTAGGACCCACCCCCTTCAAGAGACATCTCGTTGGGAATGCCCTTGGAATCCCTTTTCGTGGTTAAGTCAATAGTGAGTACATTATAATTAAAGAAGGGAAACTAGTGCATGTGCTGAGGGTTGGGCAACATGTCCTCAGATGACCTTTTGAGACACCCTAGTACTTAAAGCTTCATACATGTGATCTGCATCTCATGCATGTCATTACAACAGAATGCATCATGGGTAAGGACATGTACAGTCAAAATTAAATTATGTAACATCCTCCTGTCAATCACCCTAACCCCTCTTGCAAAGACCGCCCTATTGTTCCCACCATTTGCCCTGACAACCTGTAAGTTGCCCTTTGAACAAAGATTGGGGCTTCTGTACCACCTGGCCAGAGCCCACTGCTCTGTCTTGCAGTGTTTCCTCCTGTTTATACTTCTCTTTTTCTCTCAATAAAATTGTACTATTGCTTACAATCTGTGTGTCTGTCCAATGCTTTGTTCCGAGACACAGGACCTGAGATCTTCTCTACCAGGGTCATCTGACATCACCCACTGGTAACAGGGACACCATTTGTTCTGGGTCACAGAACTTTAAGTGTTAAAGCCAGGAAGGTCTCTGACAAGGCAGGATGAGTTGGTCACCGTATGCTACAACAAACTGACGTCCAGGCTTACCCCAGACCAACTTAATTACAACCTGGCGTGGGATCCAGGCAGCAGTCATTTTCCAAGCTCCTCATGTGATCTTGGCATGTATGGCTGTGACTGAGAACCACTATTCTAGAGCCATTTGGGTCTTTTTAGCATCAGATCACATCGGATCAGATGCCTCGGAAGCAGGCGGTGGGTCATTAAAATTAGCTTTGAGTGAATTTGAATGAATGGAATGTTTTCTGCTTCTATCAGGAGTGGGACACACAGGAGGGTGCAAGGCCCTAAGTTCAAACCCCAGGACCACCAAATAAATAAATAAATATATAAAATAAAAAATTGCTTAACACAGTGCCACCCACATATGAAGAACTACAGGGGTTTGTTAACATAACAATGATGCAATCAATAAAAATTACACATTCCAAAATTTGCTGTAGTAAAATGCCAGTCACATTGAGTGAAAAGTACAGGTTCAAGGTGTTCTCAACTATGGAAAATCACATGCAGAGAGAAGTCAGTGGGGAGTACAGTTCCCCTCTTGAGAATGCAAATGTCACATCTGCAGTCGACAAACCATAGAAAATATTCAGAAAAATGTCTTGTCTATGCAAAACAAATGACCTCATTTTTAGTCATTATTCCCTAAACAATGCAACAGAATAACTTTCTACTAGCATTTGCATTGTATTGTGCATTACAAGTCATCTAGGATAACTTAACGTATACAGCAAGATATGCATAGGTTACATGCAAATATACCATGTTCTACAAGAGACTTGAGTATTCTGGTTTTTTGGTACTCTTGGGGGTCCTGGAACCAATGCCCCTGGATACTGAGCAGAGTGACTGTATGTGAAAATGGCAGCTGAGGCTGGAGGTGTAGCTCAGTGGTAGAGCGTATGCCTAGCGTGCAGGAGGCTCTGGGTTCATTTCCCAGTGTGTGTGCATGTGGACGCATAAACACACACAAATAGCAGCAGAGAGAAAGCCTTGGTGGGAGAGAATGACAGATAATCCTGACATGTGGTTCCACGTCAATTTCAGCATCTGATGCCCCACCACTGACGAATGGATTAAGAAAATGTGGTATCTATACACAGTGGAATTTTATGCAGCCATGAAGAAGAACGAAATGTTATCATTCGCTGGTAAATGGATGGAATTGGAGAACATCATTCTGAGTGAGGTTAGCCTGGCCCAAAAGACCAAAAATCGTATGTTCTCCCTCATATGTGGACATTAGATCAAGGGCAAACACAACAAGGGGATTGGATTTGAGCACATGATAAAAGCGAGAGCACACAAGGGAGGGGTGAAGATAGGTAAGACACCTAAAAAACTAGCTAGCATTTGTTGCCCTTAACGCAGAGAAACTAAAGCAGATACCTTAAAGCAACTGAGGCCAATAGGAAAAGGGGAACAGGTACTAGAGAAAAGGTTAGATCAAAAAGAATTATCCTAGAAGGTAACACCCACGCACAGGAAATCAATGTGAGTCAATGCCCTGTATAGCTATCCTTATCTCAACCAGCAAAACCCCTTGTTCCTTCCTATTATTGCTTATACTCTCTCTACAACAAAATTAGAAATAAGGGCAAAATAGTTTCTGCTGGGTATTGAGGGGGTGGGGGGAGAGGGAGGGGGCGGAGTGGGTGGTAAGGGAGGGGGTGGGGGCAGGGGGGAGAAATGACCCAAGCCTTGTATGCACATATGAATAATAAAAGAAAAAAGAAAAAAAAAATTTCAGCATCTGAGCCTCTGTGTGACCCATGGAGAGAAAGGGTGAGATTTTAGGAGTTACCTTTGTTGAGCTGCCTGGCTCTGATCGGCTGTTGGAGACCGAGCAGACCCCAGAGGGGCAGGAAGTGAGGGGTGGAGGTGGGCAGCACCTACCTTTGCACTGGAACTTGTGGGTGGGGGTGGTGAGCAAGAGCCTATCAGCCATGGACTCGGGGCTACTGCATCGGGCAATGCCAGGCTCCTTGTAGCCAGCCTTGACCCACTCTGATAACCAACGCAGGCTGCAATCACAGTGGAGTGGGTTGGTTCCCAGGGCCCTAGGAGGAAGAACAGGAAGTCAGGGGGGCTCTGCCCAGCCTGGCCCATAGCCTCCAGCTCCCTGGAAAAGCAGGATTTTCAGACTTGACAAGATTAGTGGTGTCTGACATGGAGATGGATGACAAAACAGTCTCTGCTGGAGCAAAGTCAATGCCTGTGGAGTCTACTTTCCATTCTGTAGACGTTTCAAGCCCCCTCCCACCTCTGAGGCTTTGCTCTTACTACCTTGGTAAAAACCTGTCCTCAGTCTACCCCAGTCCTGACTCTTCCAGGGAGCTTTCTGGACCCCTGGCCATCTTGTTATCTGGCTCCCAGACCCTACTGAAGGGTCCATTGGAGGATGTGTTGTACAGAGCAGGTTCTGAGACTCAGCATGTAGGAAGCAGCTTAGAGCCACTCAGCTTGAAGATACAGAGGAGGAGGGCACAGATCAGTATAGAAATTTTCCAAAATTGTATCAGAAAGAAAATACTAGAACTTGTTTTTTTTTAAATTCTATTCTTTATGATTTTGAATGTTTTACAGTATTCATAAGTGTCATATTATCATGAATGCATACAGTATGAAAATAATTAAATATAGAGAGATGAACTCAGTCAAGAATTTTCACTGATAAGAGGTAAGTGGTAACAGAACAAGAACAATGACAACAACAGCGACAAAACTAGAAATCTCTGGTCCAAGAAGAGGGCTCTGGACTGGAAATGTGAGAACCTGAGTTCTAGTTCAAAGTCTCTCTGGCTTGAGGGCTGACTTTTAGCTAGTCACGTAATATTCACAGGGTTCAATTTCCTTGTGTAAAATAAGACGGGAACAAGAATGGTTAAGAATATGAGCTGAGCTGTGACTCTGCTACTTATCGCCTGCAATTCGAGGACAAATTCCTTAAGTTTTCCAAGTTACTTTCAACAATAAAAAGGGATAACGTGCCTTAGTGTTGTAAGAAATACAGTACAAAATTCATTTAAAGTGTTTAGCACATAGTAAGTGTTTTCTGGTAATTCTTATTAAATATTTTCATTGTTTACAGAATCGATGATGCCTTTGAAGGCATCTGAAGCCTTGAATGAGACAATGTGACAGAGTTGACTCATTATTATAAAATCCACCATGGCTGGCCTTCTGCACCTCAGGTTCCACACCTGCAGGTTCGACCAACTGAGGGTCAAAGATAAGGAAAAAGCTGCATCTGTACTGAACAGGTGAGCCGTGTTTTAGCCTCAGTACTCCCTGACTGACGTGGTAAATGCATTTCCACTGTTCTGGCATTCTAAGTCGTCTAGAATGATGTAAGAGATGTACGCAAGCGCCATGCTATTTTATATAAAATCTTCAGATTGTGATACCCACAGGGGCTCTTGCACCAGTCTCCTGCAGATTTGGAGGGACACACGCATGTGCAGAAGGAACACACTCAGCTGAGTGTTAACAGCGATGAGACTGTTGCTGTCACTGTTAGGATTTTCTGCTTTGACTGAACATACTCCGGGGAGAAAGAGGCTACTCACAGGTGGGAGAGGGATGTCAGATCATTGAAGGAGCCTTCGGGAACGCTGGAAATGTCGTTGCCATGGAGGGTTCTGAGGCAGAAGGCACAGGTCAGAAGGTGACAGCACACGCACCCAGCCCAGCTCAGCACCCCCTTCTGTGGTTCCTGGAGCTCCAGTGCGGGTTGCAGGTGCACGGATGGAGGGCAGAGGGTTTGGGGAGGAAGAGGGTGTGTTTTAAAACTGGATGGACTCAGAAACCAGTCCCTTTTGGTGGTGGACACTGGGTAAGTTACTTTTCTTTTTTGGGCCTCCACTTTTGCACTTGAGAAATTGACCTATCGGAGCCATGGGAGTTTCAGAGATGATGCTATTTACCCCATGGGTAAGGCCGAAAGTTCTGGAGGCATTGGACCCTAACTCTGCCACGCACCAGCCAGAGCAAAATGACTCACTCCAAAATGGCAATGAACATGGTAAGGTTTGTCACGGATTAACGCATGTGGAGAGAATCTGGCGTTTCAAAGTCCTAAATAATGAACCATTATTAACATCAGCAAAAAGGTCTTGAAGAAAATCTGGTCTAAGTCAAGCAGCTCACTAAGCTGGTTCCCTTCATATTCCCCTGAAGAGAGTTCAGGTAAATTGAGAACTGTGATTGATCCCACTGCAGGAGAGGGAGGGGCAGTGTTCAAGAGCTGGGGAGTGTGTGGATTTCCAGAGGCCGGAGCTTGTCTTTATGGGAAAGGATTTAGCATCAGAGCCTCATGCATGAGCCTGGCACCTGTGTGCATCGGGTGCAGTGTCCCAGGCAAGGTCAAGGGCCAGCAACCCTCTTGGGATGGGTGATGCCTCTCTCCACCCTGGAGCGTAGGCGGCTAGGAGCTCTTCCCACAAAGTGCTGGCACGTCCTTCTCAGAGAAATGACATGTCCCGAGCCTGACCAAATAGAATGAGCACTGCTCTGTGCTGGAGGAACAAGAGCCACCTACAGTCCAGGGATTAAATCCTCCATTAAGGGTAAAAATTCCCCAGCCGGTGACTCACTTTGGGTCTGGACTGTGAGATGCAAGGCTGGTGAAAGTCAGAAGCTCAGGCTTCCTTAGTGACTGATGCCACCACTAACTGTGCCTGTGACAAAGCTAATAACATTAGAGTAGGCAGGGAGTCCTCCTAGAGCAAAGAGGCCATTAGCATTGACCGGCTAGCATAAACAGGAGGTCACTGATGAACGGGCTTGAGTCAGCCTGCCCTGGTTCTGCAGCTGGAAGAGGGAGGGGACTTCATTACGCTTCCTGTAGCACAGGGAGCTCACGCCCAGTGAGCCTTGGCCATAGGAAACATACAGATCTGTGAGCCCCACGGCAGGGATGTCAGTTCTGTGGGTCTGGGATGGGGCCTGAGAGCCTTCATTTCCTGTGTGTGAACGCTGGTGGTCTGGGGCTCACGTGTCAAGGGACAGGTGTACAGAAGTTTTCTCCTATAGTTTTAAGGCAAGGGCCTTATTTCCCTCCTCCTCCTCCAAAGTCCCCCTCCTTCTCTCTTTCCTCCTCTTCTTCCCCTACCTTCCTCTCTTTGGTGCTGGGGATGGAACCCAGGGCCTCTCACATGCTTAGTGCTCTACCCTGGGCTGCCCCCACCTCTCCTCTCTTCCTCCTTATAGGGGCTCTGGCTCATCCTCATCGCCACCAGCTCCTTCCCCTGCTCCCTCCCAGTTCTCAGGTGAGATTCTCAGGGCGAAGCTTCTCAACTCTCATTCAGCCAGCATGGCTTGAAGATGGTGACAGTCCCCCCAAGAGTGCTCATGGCAGCTTCTCACCTCCCTGGGTAGGAAGGTACTAGAAGCTCCTCCTAACACACTTATCCACATCATTTAGTCTTTAATTCATGAGGCTGTGTGTGAGTCACCCCAGCCCCTGCCCCGCTGTTGACTTGGGTATTTCATGGCTGCTTGCAAATGTACTGAGCCCCACCAGGAATCATTCCTGATAGAGGCTGGGGCTCCTGGAGAGGGGTACCGCTCCAACTTAAAAACACCAAATGGACCAATGGGGGCTTTGGCCCAGTGACACCTCACGGCATGCTCCCATTGATTGTGAGCTGAGCAGCTGAGATCTCTATAAACTGTAGAATAATGAGGTTGTAGTTTACTGGGACAACTCAAAGAAATTTGCCTATTCCCCAGGTTCTTCATGCTGGAGTGGCCTCCAAAGAAGGATTCTCGTACGTTCAACCACCATCTTGAATGATGGTGGAGAAGCAGATGGCTGTACTCCCAATGGCTATCTTCAAGCCTTTGGGGTCCTTCTTCCCTCCTGACTATTAGGGGATATTAAAGGCATACTTGAGAGGTATGGATGCAGATGATGCTATCAGCAGACTAACATTAGGATTTAACTACTCCTTGTCAGGTTTGGGCTGCCTGAACTTTGGGCCTCTGAATCCATGGTTTGTACGGTTGGTGACAGAAACTATTCTAGCTCTAAATGAAGGTGGGATGAGGGGATTCTCTCTGGAGCAGGCAGGGCCATTCCCAGGTGAGGCTCTGGCTTTGTGAGCTGGGACAAGTGGCCTCATCTTTCTGTGTTTCAGGGTTCTCACCTCTAAAGTGAAGGAATTCTTACTGTCTACTTGTAGTAGTAGACACCTTTGGGTGTGTGTGTGGGGGGGGTGGGTTACCAGCATCAATGCTGTCTTCTCTGTGTCAGTTCCTTTCTTGTCCCCTGGGAACCATCTTCACCAGTTCTCAGTCCAAGAATCTGAGCTCCTGGGTGCAGCCACGGCCCAGGTCTGGTCAATCAGGGTCATAGTGAGTGAGCAGGTGACCTCAGTGGGTGTGGAGGCTCAGAAAGCCATATCCCAAGGTACAGTGCTTTGACATTCTGGACTACAGGAGCAGCTCCAAGATCTCTCTGATTTCCTTTCTTTCTCTCCCCACCTCCTCTGACTCTCTTTTGCTCCTAAGCTCAGGCAGCAATTTCCTCGAAGTTCATTTATGGACCTAAAGCCCAGATCCACCAAAGAGAACACAAGCTTCTGACTAACATTTCATCTCCCAGGAAGATTAAACTCATATCACAGAGGAGAGCAGCAAGAATCAAACAGCACACCTGGACCTCTTTGTCCAGGCCACTGTCTGTCTCTGGCCTCATTGTATCTCCCGAAGGTCATCTACTACCCCTCTAAAACTGCCTACATCTTGCTCACTGCCTCTCTCCCGGGAAGAGGGTTTTTAAGCGCCAACCATCTGGCCCTTCTTTTTCAGTTTTGTATTTTGTATGGCTTCTGTGCACAGTTCATACATTTGTATGCTTTTTCTCCTCTTAAATCTGTCCACTGTCAGTTCATTTCAGCAGATGTACACTTGAACCTTCAGAGAGAACACCAGAACTTTCCTACAGGGCCAAGGAGACATTTCTGGGGCTTTCTCTGGAATATAAAGTCAGAGGCAGTTTCATTTTGTGGGTTCACTAAGCTACCAGGAAGAAAACTCAGTCTGTTAGGATGCTGGGCACCTCAAATGGAGAGAGACCACACACGAGTGGAATTTACTTAGTCTGAGAGCCAGAGAGAGTCATGCTTTTGACAATGTCACTAGCACTTCTGCATTCAGCCTGAGAGGCCAGTACCCACACTGAATTCGTCAGCTGAGTCGATAAGTTCTTTTATGCCTAAAGTGGTTTGAGCTGGTTTTGTCTCTCCTCAGTCAGAAAGGGAGCTAATACACTTGTTCCTAAGCTAGCTGTGAGGATATATTGAGAGGGTAAAGGGTTTCAGACAATGCAGAATGCAATGAAGGCCCTGCATAAAGAGTCATGTCAGCCACAGTTATTGCTACCACGGTCATGGTCCCTCCTCCGTGATCTTACCATATGTGGGACCAGTCTTCTCAAAGCATTACCCAGAAAGAGCAGAATTGTGCAATTTCACATCCTGTGCATTTCAGAGGTGGCAAGGAGCCCCATGACTTGATTCCAGGACTGGAGAGGAGAGCTTCAGTAAATTTTGGCAGAGTGGCCCCAGGTCCATCACCTTTTTCCTTAAGGGAGAGGTGGGGCAGGGGACTGGATTGGAGGCCATGCCCCTCCAAGCTCCCAGAAAAGTCTGAAATGGTGTGATGAGGACAGGTGACCAGCTGTGGTGTGGAAGGAGGTGTAATAATGAGGCGAGAGCACCAGGGTAGTTGCTGGGAGACACGAGTTCTTCCCATAAGTCGTGGCAATTTGGTAACACTCTTCTGTTCCTACCTCAGGAGTCCCATTCTGGCCACATCTGGAGCTTCTGTGAGACCCCAGCTCACTTGCCCTCTGACCTCAGGGCCCCTTCTGCCTAGAGCATTCTTCTCTGCCTTCATTACTGGTTTCTCAGTCTCAGCCTTGGAAGTGAATAGTTACAGGTTCAAGGCCCAACTGGATAATCTATTGGTTGTGTATTTTGGGTAAGTCACTTAATGTCACTTAGCCTCAGTTTACTTATCTGTGAGATGGTGGTGACAGTGGTGTAGGGTGACCATGATATGTCACAGTAGCACTGAGTCTGGGGTGCAGTGTATAGCTTAGGTTTAATGGATGTCAGTGGTGACATGTTCAAGGTTCTCCTTTCAGAGAGTTATGTGTTTCACTGTGTCCTGTGGCTTTCTCTTAGGTGTCATCCTTGTCGCACACGCTTATTGACTTGACCATTTCCTCTCTAGATTGGCAGTTGTGTCTCACTCGCTGCTTATTTTCTTCACCAGAGTTTACCACAGCAAAGAATCCACAGGAGGCACCAAGAAAGGATGGATGAGGATGCCCTTGAACAAGTGCTAAACCTTTCTAAATCTGCCTCCTCATCTCATAAAAGAGAAGTTTGGATGGGAGAATTTCTAGGACTTCCTTGTCATCTTAAAACTCGAGTTAATTTTTATTGATTTTTGTTTTGGAAGTATCAAAGGACCAAGCCCTCACCACAGTTTAGAAGTCACAAGGACCACTGTTCAGCACGCCAGAAGCACTTTTCTAAGGCTCAAGGTCAGAAGTGGACTGGGGCTGTCTGGTAGGCAGTGAGGTCTATGGGGTGAAGGCAACGGGAGCCCTGTGTGGGGCTGGCATAGGGAAGACTCAGGAAGGCCTTAGCACTGCATGGGAATAAATGGCATGATCTTCCCCTGGGGACTCGGAGCTAAAAACAGAGGATGCTGACCCGTAGTCCCACTTGCATCCTTCCCAGTGCCCAGCACCTTCCCAGTCATAATGGATGTGGCTTATGCCCCTTGTGGCTGGGGTTGGGGAGTGACATTTGGGATCACACACACACACAAGGCTATCACTTGGTGTGGGGTGAAGATCCAGGAGAGCAGGTTCCTGAAGAAGGACTAGAATGTCCACAGGAATGTTCTAGCTATTTTTTAGATGACAAGTGAAGTGAGAAAAACATTTTTTTTCCACACAATGTTTTGTATTTGGGGTTCCTGGCCGCCTCCTTTCATGTTCTCTGCAAGGTATTCACCTCCCTTGCAAAGCACACACACATAGACACACGACACACACACACTCACACTCATGCCAGGTCTCTCTTTGCTTTCCGGTTGCCTTTCTGGCTTTTGTCTATGGCTAACCTTGACATCCACCCTCCTCTTTGTGACTTTTGTCTACGGCTAACCTTGCTGTCAACTCTTCTTCTTGTGGGTTTTTTCTATGGCTAACCTTGATGTCTACTTCTTCCTGCACCAAGTACCAAGCATTCATGGGTCTCTGATCATTTCTGAAATTTTCGTCAAAATAAAGAAAACCTTCCTAAATGAGGAGAGAATATACAATTGCTCAAGAATAGATGCAGCTGATGCAATTCCTGATTTTATTTCCCTCAACTCTAAGTTGTAAACATGCTACTTATCTTTAACTTTACCTTCACTTACAATAGAAATGGCATTGCATTAATAGCTGGCAATCAGTGGTCTTTTCTATCTGTTCAAATGTTTACAAGATAAAATTAGGTTAGATTTCTTTTTCCATGTCACTGCTATTTACTAAGTCCTTTCTTACATTCCTATCTAGTTTTCATCTTCTTGTTTTTTTTTTTTTTTTTGAGACAGGGTCTTGCTATATAGCTAAGCCTGGCCTCAACTCACTATGTAGCCCAGGCTGGCCTTGAACTTGCAGTCTTCCTGCCTCAGCCTGCTGAGTGCTGGGATGACAGGTATGCACCATCACTCCTGGGTTAGTTTTTATCTTTACCTCTTTTAACCACTGTACACCATTGCCTGGTTGTGTCAGAATTTCCTTAAACACTTCCCCATTGTGGCCCTCGTAGGTCATATTTAAAATTTACGTTAAAAATAACAGTGCAACAAAGACCTTATTAACGTGTACAGCCTTTCCCTCATTTTGGATTATTAACACAATTCCTCCAAGTGCAATCATTAGCAGAAAGGACACACATATCATAAAAATGTGGCCCATAAACAGTTTCATTTTCCCAGAGCTGGCCCTTCTGCAGAAAGTGGTTTTTCACTGAAGTAGAAGGTTGGACCGGGGGCTCCAAGTTTCCTTCTTACCCTGAGATCTTGTGATTTTAAAATGATGTTAAACGCTCACCAACTCATAATGCAAATGGCAAGTCTCAGCACGGGTACATAGGCGTGTTTTCCCAATGATGTGGTGTGGGGGGGGGCGGCGTTCAAGGTGCTGAGGAAGGGGAGACCCTGGGTCTAGCTGGCGATGCTCACCCCACCTCCCCAATAGACAGACATGTGCTGTTTTCTCCCTCTTACCTATTGAGTTGTCTTAACTAGAACTAGTCTAATTATGAACGTATGTGCTGAGAGCCCCTTAGAATTGGCTGGCCACACTCCTTGGCAGTAAACCCAGGCACCAAACTGTTGGACTGGGATGACAGACAATGGGCTGGGATGGAAGGGGTTGGGGAAGGGAGCTGATCCAGCTTTATCCTTGGCTGATGAGATAAGCCCATCCCACCATGTTCAACTGAAAACAGGGAAATGGCTCTGCTGATGTTTCCACTTCAGAACTCCCCAGAGGAGGCAGATAATAAGTAAGTGACAACAACGGATTGCACGTTGTCAGAGTGGGCACTGCTTTGCCCCAGAGAATAGATTTTTAATAACAGTGCAGATGACATGTGGTGGGAGTTGTCACTGACATGGTTGTTTTGTGGGCCTCAATAAATCACATCAGCCTCAAGCCATCGGGATGGACTAGCTTGTTGGGTTCTGCTTGCTGATGGTCAGGCCATGGAAAGGGTCCTGGGGCTCTGAGTTAGGAAGCTGGATTCTGCAACCCCAGGACTGTTGGACCATGGCCAGTTTCTGCACCAATCTGGACCTCAATTTTCCATCTTTAAAATGGGCACTGTCCCCTCAAACTCACAGCACTACTGTAAAGGGTTTGATGAAGGAATGGCCATGAAAGGCAAGACATTGACAGGTTTGGGGACAGTTTGTCTGGCATTTTTGTTCCCATGAGAATATCATTTGAGGGACAATTCACAGCATCTTTCTTTACCAATAAGACAGGGGCAAGCTGGGAAGTCATGCAAATCAGATGACGATTGGACCTAGGGTTGCGGGTAGCGAGTGCAGGGTGCCTTCCTGCTCTGGTAAGCTATGATGTGAGAATAGTAATAACAAATAAATATTTATTAGCTGTTTACAGTGGCCGCAGCTGTGCTAAGTGTTTTACACACAGCACCTCATTTAATCCTCATAAGACCCTAAGAGGCAATTACCACAATTAGCTGATGCTATGGGTGAGGAGACACGGGGAGGGAGGGGCAGCGCAACATGTGGAAAGCAGGACTCCGTGGCTCTCTAGCTTTTGTGCTCAGCTCATCTGCCTCAAGTGCTGGCATTGCCCTCCACTCCAGTGTAGCCCAGGGTCAGGCAGGCAACAAGGATAGGACAGGTGTGGTGGCTGCAGACTGTACAACCTGGTCCAAAATGGCAGGGCTGCTTGGCCATGTGCCAGTAAAGAGGCAGGGCCTGGAATGGCCTGGGTCTCAGTTTTCCATAATGTAGACATTAGGATTTGAGAAGCCTGTGCTATTTAAATGTTGGCCACTTGTTAAAACCTTGTTTTTTGAGAAAAAAAAATCTGTGAGCCAACTGTCTGTGAACTGGCCGGGCCCCTGGGCTCCCAGGTTGTGATCTCTGATATGTGAGCTTTGTTTCCTCACAGCGGGTGACCGTGTCATGTCAGCCTTCTCCTGACAACGTGGCTTGGTGCAGTGCACTGTGCTCACGAGGGGGCGAGATGGCAGATACACCCTAAGCCTCCCCAGGAGGTGCTTTCGGCTCCTTTTGACCCACAAAGAAGTAGAAACTTTGGTGTCCCAAGTGGCAGTGGTCTGGATGAACCCTGGGGATGGCTGACCTCAGTACACTCTCGGTCCCACTCAGCAAATAAGGGTGCTGGGTGGGGAGGTGTGGGCTTTGAGCACTGGAGAGTGGGGAAGGGGTGATCCAGTCACCTCCCGCTATTACCAGGTAGTGGTAGCATTAGGTCCAACCCCTGGGAACTCACAGCACTCGGAGAGACGGCAGCCCGTTGAAGGCGTGGATTGGGATGCACCTCAGCCGGTTGTAACTCAGGATCCTGTGGAGAGGGAGACACAAGCCTTCAGCTACTCCTGGGTGCACTGCTCACCTTGGGGGCCTTGCTCGCCAGGGGGAGCAAGCGGTTCCTCCAGTATATTGACAAAGTCATCCTGATGATAAGGGGAAAAGTAGCTTCTCCCACCGCTTACAGCTCCAGCTTTCCAACTTCTCCCTTGTTGCATAGTAGGCTGACTCTCCCACCTGCTTCCCACCACCTGCCTCCACTGTGAATGACGTGTGCTCACACTGCACAAAGCTGGTGGAAATAAATGGGTGCGAGCAAAACACAGTTGCGTAGGGTGACCCTCCACCAGGACTGGACAGGAGAACATATCACAGAAGGTGTTCTCCAGAGGAAATCAGGCTCCAGTTCCTCTGTCTCCCCAGTGAAGTTCTGACCTACTCTATTTTTCTGCTGATGACTAAGGTCTAGGCTTTGTTGGGCAGCCATAGCCCTGAGGGGCAGAGCACCTGGCACTGCGTGGATAGTGGGAAGGACAGCCACTAACTGCTAGGTTCATGAGCATGGGAAGCACAAATGCACTATACTCACAGGGTAGAGAGGTGAGACATGTTGCTGAAGGTGTAATTGGTCAGCACGCTGATGCTGTTGTTGCTCAGATCACTAGGAAAAGTGAAACAGAAGGTCAGCCTTTACTGCTAGCCCCACTTGAGGGAGGCCACTCTCAAATGTCACATGCATTCCATCCATCTATCAATCCATCACTCATCCATCCATCCACCCATCCATCCAACCATCCTTCCATCCATCCATCCATCCATCCATCCACCCACCCACCCTTCCATCCACCCATCCATCCATCCACCCACCCACCCATCCACCCACCCACCCTTCCATCCATCCATCCATCCACCCACCCACCCATCCACCCACCCACCCTTCCATCCACCCATCCATCCACCCACCCACCCATCCACCCACCCACCCTTCCATCCATCCATCCATCCATCCACCCATCCATCTACCCATCCATCCACCCATCCATCTACCCATCCATCCACCCATCCTTCCATCCATCCATCCATCCATCCATCCATCCATCCACCCACCCACCCTTCCATCCATCCATCCATCCATCCACCCATCCATCCACCCATCCATCCATCCATCCACCATCCATCCATCCATCCATCCGCAAATCCCACCCATCCACCCACCCACCCTTCCATCCATCCATCCACACATCCATCCACCCATCCATCCATCCATCCATCCATGCACCCATCCACCCACCCATCCATCCATCTATCCACCCACCCATCCATCCATCCATCCCATCCATACCCACCCTCCTGTCCATCCACTCACCCACCCACCCATCCATTCATCCACAAACCCACCCACCCGTCCATTCATCCATCCACCCGTCCATTCATCCATCCATCCATCCACTCATCTACTTACTCACCCACATATCCATTCATCCACTCACCCACTTATGAATTCATCCACCCACTCATTCACCTATCTAACCATCCACCCACTCACCTATTTATCCACCTGTCATCCCACTCACCTACTTGCCCACTCATCTATCCACATACCCACCTACCTACTCACCCACTCACCCACCATCTATCCATCTACCCACCCATCCATTCATCTACCCACTCACTCCTCCATTCCCTCACCAATCTACACACCTACTCACTCTCCTATTGTCCACTCAAGACTCATCTGCCCACCTGCCCATCCACTCATCCGCTCATGCAGTCATTCAAATGCTCATTTTTTCATTCAGTGTTTGTTCATTCATTCATCCACCCACTTATCCATTCAATTGTTCAATTGCGTTGTCTAATCATCCATTTCACTCTACCAACAACACACCACGTGTATAACAAGCTTTCCTTATTTTATTACTTTTCCCCGATCAGTTCTTATCATGGTCCCGCCCTCCTTCTCTTGTGGCATTCATAGATTGTCTCTTAGTGGGAATGAGGTTGGTGGGGTATAGACTTCTGCCCACTACACCCTCCAGCTTCTCAGGGGCTAATCCCCAGAGCAGTGGTAACATAGCAGCCCATTTGAATCACCTGGGATCTTTTAAGTTCTCTACTGCTGGATCCCTGTAGATATGATCTGATTTAAATGGTGCAGGGCGGGCTTGGCGTCAGTATTCATCATTCTCACCACGACCACCAGGAGAACCATGACTACTACTCGGGCACTTCCTCTAGTCAGCGGTAACCACCTAGTAGCAGTTTCCAGCTGCTTTTGCCCCTCCCCCCACAACATCTGGCAATATCTAGAGACACCTTTGGTTGTCACCACTGGGGTACGTGCTGCTGGAATCTAATAGAGGCCACAGACAGTGCTGAATGCCCTACAATGTCCACGACAGGTCCTCTCAACCAAGAATATCTTGGTGTCCAGAGAGCCAAGGCTGAGAAATCCCCAGGTAGACACTGGTTTCAGGAAACCAAGGAATCCAGGCTGGGGACAGGTGACTTTTTTCCACCTTTCATCAGTGGCCCCCTACCTTCCCAAGGATGACACCCTTTCCTTCTGAAAGAACCCTTATTTCGCCTTGGGAACTGGCTCCTTGCCCCTCTAAGCAGATATGGCATCTTTTAATTGCCACTTGCCCAAGGAATTACTTTGCCCCTTTTTAGGTCCCACCATGCTGAGGCACTGAAGCTGCTGATGGAGGAAGCTGAGGGCCTGGCCCATGCCTGCAATCCCTACTTCTCAACACGGGATTTTCTGAGTCCTGGAAGAATTGGGGCCAGTAGTAGCTTCCACCTGAAGGATCCTCAGCCTGGGACACTTTCTAGGAAACTAAAGAAGGAGGAAAAGAAATGCCCATTTGTGCTTTTGGTAAACCTAGGCATGGCACAGCTTGCAAGAGGCTAGAGACTTGGTGTTGGTGGCTCACGCCTGTAACCCTAGCTACTTGGGAGGCTGAGATCAGGAGGATCGAGGTTTGAGGCCAGCCAGGGCAAATAGTTCAGGAGACCCCCATTTCCAAAACAACCACAGCAAAATGGACTGGAGATGTGGCTCAAGCAGTAGAGTACCTGCTTTGCAAATGTTGAAGCCCTGAGTTTAAACCCCAGTTCCACCAAAAAAATTTTTTTTAATTAAAAAAATAAATAAATAAAAGAAGCCAGGGACTGAGGATGCTCAGGAATTCAGCCTGGACCCTGGGAGGTCAGAGGATTGGCTCTTTGACCCAAGCCAAGCAGGACGGTGGTTCAGATGGCCCACAATGCCAGGCGTGGCTGACACAGAAAGTCCTGGCACAGCTCGTCTGTTCCACCCAGCTGCCTCTCCCAGCTCCACCCAGGAAATGTGGCACCAGTGCACAGCACTGGGCTCTACCCTTCACATCCATTTCTTGAGCTACCTCAGGAGCAAAAAAGAAATGCCACACCCAGCAGCAGGCTCCTTACATAAGTGTGAGGTGTCGGAGGGCGGACAGCTCCCTGGGCACGGCCGTTAAGTGGTTTCCTTCCAGGTACCTGAAAGAGAGGAACAGAGTGACAATAACTGGGAAGGAGACACGACACAGCTGGCTGCTTCCTGAGAAACCTCCGGGCGCAGGCTAGGTGCTCACTGTTTTATTCTCTCACAGTTCCTTCCATTTCCCTCCTTTAAAGCACACACTACATTGTCACTCAGTGTTTGTGTGATTGTCCACGGAATGATGAGTTGTATGTTGGCAGGGTCCTTGTCTAAAATTGTGTATTCAGTAAGTATTTCTTTAATAAACCAAGCACCCACTTTATGCCGAGATGTCATAGTATCCTTATGTAGCACATAAGGATGCACAATTGAGGAAGCAAAGGTTCAGAGATATAAACACACTTGCAAGGTCACACAGCAACCATGTGGCTGAGCAAGGACTCGAACCCAGGTCTCCCTGCCTGCATTCTCACCACAATCCTGTACAGCCTGTACTTAGTTTCTGGAGGAAGGCAGGAGGACCAAGCCGTGATTCATCTTAAGAACTCTAACTCATCCTTGAGGCTCTCTGATGTACATTTGGAAAGGAGGAAAGAGGCATACATTATTGCCACCTGGAACATGCCACAGTTCCCAGCAGCAGGACCATATGGCAGAAGAAGACAGGCCCTAAGAATCGGGGAGTACCCAGCAGATGGGGATGAGGTGAGTTGTTTGGAGGAGACTTGAGTGCAGTTTAAGACAGGAGGAGGAAGTCTCCTTGTAATTATGAGGTCATGATTACAAAGGCTATCATGACCCATCTGGGCCCTTAGACTTTCAAAAGGGAGCATAGGCAGCTCTTTCAGATGGCCGGCGGGCTGGGCTTGTGGAGCCTCTGCAGGCACCTAACCTCGTCTCACAGACAAGACAACACAGAGCCCAGGACAAGACCAAGACCCACGCCACACTCCCCAGCACTGGCCCAGGTGCAGCCCCCGTGCTGCGGGGTGGGCTGTCTGTGATCTCACTTAGTCCCCTGGATCTGGGTGGGGGGGTCTTTTTTTTTTTTCATTTTTCTTTTATTATTCATATGTGCATACAAGGATTGGTTCATTTCTCCCCCCTGCCCCCACCCCCTCCCTTACCACCCACTCCACCCCCTCCCGCTCCCCCCCCTCAATACCCAGCAGAAACTATTTTGCCCTTATCTCTAATTTTGTTGTAGAGAGAGTATAAGCATAATAGGAAGGAACAAGAGTTTTTGCTGGTTGAGATAAGGATAGCTATACAGGGCGTTGACTCACATTGATTTCCTGTGTGTGTGTGTTACCTTCTAGGTTAATTCTTTTTGATCTAACCTTTTCTTTAGTACCTGTTCCCCTTTTCCTATTGGCCTCAGTTACTTTTAAGCTATCTGCTTTAGTTTCTCTGCGTTAAGGGCAACAAATGCTAGCTAGTTTATTTAGGTCTTGCAGAGGCTCAGAAGGTCACCAGGGAGTCCAGAAGGTAAGAATGACTTTGATGGACTTTGGAGCCTGAGAAGTCAACCCTATGGCCTCAGCTCTGCACCCTGACTTGCTTATTTTCACCCCAGCTGGCCTTCAGTATCCTCAGGGGACTGAGTCCAGGACCCCACTGACACCAGACCCGAGGGCGCTCAAGTTCATCATATACCACCTATGCACGTCCTCCTGTATACTTTAAGTCATCCTTAAATGACATAACAACACAACATCAGGGTGATACAGAGTTGCTACACTGTATTACTTACTTAGGGGATAAGGGCATGACAAACCTGTAGTGTTCAGTACAGGTGCCATTTTTTTCACGTTTTCAATCTGCAGTTGGTTGAGGATTCAGATCCCATGGGGTGGAAGGCTGATATTCTATGGTGTCAGTTATTTTCTCTTTTGACCCCACTAGAATAAAACTCCACAAGGCAGGGACAGTCACCAGTTTTGTGTCTTGCTGTATCTTCCAGTACCCGGTGTAGTGTTCAGCTCATAACCGGGGCTCAACTATCTGCTGAATAAATGAATGACTGAACGCACAGAAGTACTGCTCAGAGGACCCTGGATTAGAAAAAAGGAAAAACAAAAGCCTGCAATGGCCGCAAGGAATGCCCTGGGCCAGCCCAGTCACACCTGCAGGGACGGGCCGTGCTTGGCAAACGCTTGTATTTGCTGGACAGTTGAATAAAAGCATAAATGACCCCTGGAATTTGGGGACACCAGCAACAGCCTGATCTGAGACAGGAGGTTAAGGACCCTGGAGGACGGGCGACATGACAGCTGCTATAGGAGCCGCTGGGGCCCACAGAGCCTGTTGTCCCTCTGCTATTAGGGAGGTGTCACCCACTCCCTCCACATCTGACAGGGCCTTCTGCAGCCTGTCCTGCACAAGTCAGGGTTCTCCAGAGACACAGAACCAGACAGAGATATTTATCTTTAAATAAAAATTACAGGAGGCCAAGGTGTTAGACCAGGCTCCAGGAGACCAGACTGAAAATCAAAATGGAAGCCCTGAGACTAAAGTGCCAAGTCACTGAACAGAAACGAAGCTGTCTACTGGGCCTTGGAAGGATCAGGAGGAAGGATCAGGGCGCCAAATCTCCCACACTGGCCAGTTGCAAAGACTTGATCGGGAGCGTCCTCTGTTTAGTCCTTGAGCAAACGAAGCAGCTCAAAGTAACCAGTCACTTTCCTATTGTTCTGTCTCTGCCCCTGCCTGACAAGGAAAGTAGCTCTGATCCATCTGCTTTGTTCCTTGTCTCTGTCTGGAGAGCCAACCTCCTCTGCTCTGCCCCTGGAGCACTCACTCTACTTGACGGAGCGGTTCTAGAACCACAAAAAGCCAATCAAGATCTTAACTAAACTCGTGTGAACTTGTCCTTTCAGTATCTATCATCTACCTATCAATCATCTATCTATCACCTATCATCTATCTATTATTTATCTATCGATCACTTATCTATCTACCAATTATCTATCAGTCACCCATCCATCTATGAGAGAGAGAAGAGGATATGAGCTTATTTTTAGGAAGTGGCTTGAGCTACTGTGAGGCTGACATCTGTAGAGTAGGCTGGCTTTGGACTTGAAACCTCAGTGAGAGTTCTATAGTTTTCAGAAATTCTGAGACAGAATTTTTTTCCTTTGGGAAACCTCAGGTTTTTTTTTTTTTTAACTGTTCAGATCCTCAGCTGATTAGACGAGACCCACCTCCACATTAGGAACTATAATCTCCGTTACTTATAAAGTCTCCTGATTTCAGATGTTAACTGCACTCAAAACACATTCAAAGAGACATGGCCATCAGGCGTTTGACCCTACAGTTGGGTACCATGGCCCAGTCAAGCTGACCCATGAAGTTAGACATCAGGGCTCTGCCTCCTCTCTCTGATCATCTCGTATCAAACACTCCCTTGACCTCTGGTTCCAACTCCGCTGGCCTTGCCATTTCTCAAATGTCCCCAGCCCCTTGGCTGGGGAGCTCAGGTCTGTGCCAGTGCCAGGCCCTCCTCTCTGTCCTGCTCAGTTTCCTCCGATGGTACTCAGATCTCAGCTCCCACACCCACTGGTGACACGACAGGTCCTTCAGGCTTTGGGTGTATTTTTTTCACAGCATCTACCCCTTGGTGACACTTAGAATGCATCTGTGACTCATGTCAGCAGAGCCACGTCAGCACGCTCGCCATGGCCCACCACACGCCGCCTGGCAATAGCGGGTGTCAGGCAGTGTCATCCAGGTGACAAGTCCTGGTGACTCTCTGTGGTACTGGGGCTATGAGGGAGCTGCTGTCGGCACAGAAGGTCCCCAGAGCCCTGGCAATGAACGTGGAGGACACAGAATCAGAAGGTTCCACTTCAGAAATGCAGATGCGGTGTGTGGATTGTTCTCTTTGTAGGAAGCCGTTGATGAACACTGTGAACTTCAGAGCTGCCCGTGGCTGCAGCCCCGGCCCCAGAGGGACCATTCCAAAGCCGGCCCTCTGCTCCCAGCCTCAGAGGAGCCAGAACTCTTCCACGGGGTCAGCCTTCGCTGTGACCTGCATCAATGCTGTCTTTCACCCCTGGCACAGGCTCCTGGGGACCCATCTGCTTCACATGTAAATCCACACAGATCTGTCTGGATGCAGACTCCCTGTTCCTGCTCTCACCTTTGCAGAGTGGACAGGTGCCACAAGGAACTCTAGGACCTGGTGGATGGTGATGGAGAAAAGGGGCAGCCGCTACCTTTCAGGAGAGTCTACTCCAGGGCAGAATGTCCACCAGAGGCCTGGGGTGAAATGGGGGCAGGTCAGGAGTCAGAGAGCAGAGCTTGCATTCTAGCTACCTAACCGCTGTGTGACCTTAGGCGAGGTACTTGACCTCTCTGGGCTTGCATTTACTTGGATTTACTTGGGGCTTATCATAATCACTACCTTGATGTGATCATGAAGATACGTGAGAGTCTCTGGGGATAGGTTGTAGAGCAGTGCCTGGCACTGGTGTTCAGCAAATTTTGAATGCGTGTGTGTGTGTGTGTGTGTGTGTGTGTGTGTACAGGACCTGGTGGATGGTGACGGAGAAAAGGGGCAGCCGCTACCTTTCAGGAGAGTCTACTCCAGGGCAGAATGTCCACCAGAGGCCTGGGGTGAAATGGGGGCAGGTCAGGAGTCAGAGAGCAGAGCTTGCATTCTAGCTACCTAACCGCTGTGTGACCTTAGGCGAGGTACTTGACCTCTCTGGGCTTGCATTTACTTGGATTTACTTGGGGCTTATCATAATCACTACCTTGATGTGATCATGAAGATACGTGAGAGTCTCTGGGGATAGGTTGTAGAGCAGTGCCTGGCACTGGTGTTCAGCAAATTTTGAATGCGTGTGTGTGTGTGTGTGTGTGTGTGTGTGTACCAGAAGGATGAGCACACACATCGCTCTCCATCCAATAATAAATATGATTATCAAAAGAAAGACTCTGATCCCCTGCGCTGCACGCCCATTCTTCCAGAATCGTACTTCTAACGTGAGAATCAGATCAGGCCACTTTCCTGCTTAAAAGTCTTGCTTGGCGCTTGCATTTCCCCAGGGAC